GCACAGATTACAACACATCGAAATTTCTTCAAGGCAGATTACAACATTTTTTTGACTTTCTACATTCAATATCATTCAATCAGTTTCAACATATTTTTACACAGCGCTCCAATATACAACTACCGATCACCGTTGACCAGATTCGATAAACCACGCAGAAATCCGGAATCCATAGGCAATAGGGAAAAAAAAAGAGCTACGAAATGAGAAAAACCCCATGTAATGTGGTAGGATATGGTTAGGATATGGTAGGTTTGTTTCTTAACCTAAAGCTGGTAGGGACTTCCAAACAGGTCTCTTCTCTGAGTTTTTGCGATGGTCTGCAGGGTGTCATGGTGAAAATGGCCCAAGCACAAGCAACCTTTCGAAAGAAACGTGTTCGCGACAGGTCTGGCCGTCTCGAATAGATTCAAATTGCAAAACATATGGAAAAGTAGTCGGGAATGAGTTGGTCATATCCTCGTTTTGCCTGCAACATCCCCCAAGTTTGAATATATTCCTGGTTTGTGGTTTCAATTGTGCCTCATTTTCATTCATTTTCCATCACAATGAGGACTTTGCTGGACCGAAACAAATTTCTGGGATGTCACTGGCTCAAGTAATCATAAGAATCAGACCTAGTAGAAACCTCGTTTTGTTTCGTTTCTGTCATTCGTCGCTTGTAGTATCTAGTAGTTTTTTGTACTTTCCTCATGATATGGATGGATTGTGGCCATAGACTGAAGATGACTTAACTATGTTTAGCCTTTTCGAGAGATGATTTTGATGCGGAGTCCACTTTTTATCCATATTTATCCACACTTATGGAATCCATATTTAAGATTTACCCTCTGGTAAACGTTTACATAACTATGGAAAATCACCATGCTATTAATGGGAAAACTCACTATTTCGACTGGGCCATGGCTTCAATAGCTAACTTTGTATGTTTACCAGATGGTAAATCCCATTAATATCCCATTTTTTATCACTATAAAATCCCATTAAGATTTATCCATATTTATCCCACTAACAGTTTTCAACATGCAGCCATTTGTCGTGCGTTTTATCAACTACCTTGAGTCGTGCTGGGCTGGAAAGCATCCCACGCATCGGATCCGTGGATAAAAAACCCATCCATTTGTTGGAAAAAAAAGGGGCTGGTTGACTATTGCTTTACTAAGATAATATACATATGTATATATATATATGTACATAATCATTTCTATATACTAAGATACTGTAATATCCATATATATAATATACACAGAATTGTGTATATACATACATATATATATACACATCATCATTTATGTATACAATATATGTATACATATATCGGATCCATAACTGGTGATCTTCCACTGTTTTTCAACGGTTGGTTTCCCTGGACCTGTTCCAGGAGGAGGCAGCTGAAGTTGCTGAAGGCTCCAAGGCGACGACGGGGTCGACTGGGTCGACGGGATGAGATCTCCGTTCTGAAGGGATTTCTGATTATTTTCATAAAAAAAAATGCTATGGGATGATTTATATTACTGATTTCTGATGGGATGATTTCTGAGATAAATATTACTTTTCTGTAAAACCCTGTGGTTGTGACTAACATAGCCATGGAAAATCCCAACCATAAATGGAGGTTTCTAGCTGGGAAAATCCACTATAAATGGGCCATATTTTCCATGGCTATGTTAAATAACCAGAGGGTATATTACTATGACCAAAACATGATCAGAAAGTTATTGTAAAATGATGAGAAATCAGAACATGTTATTTAGAATGATTTTCTATTGTATTATTATGATCACAAAGATTGTGAAACAATATGATCACAAATTATGTATCACAAAAAATGTAAAGATTTTTTTTTTTTAAACATTTTTTTTTTGTATTATTGTTATAACGAATACATTGTAAATACATGATCACAAAGTTATGTGATTTTGATGGAATTGATGTCTTTGGGATTTAGGACCATGATCACAAAGACGAAAATAACAACTATTTGTTATTATAAACAGACTCTTGTGATTATTATTTTTATATGGTTCTTACTTTTGCATACTTTTGCCTGAACTGTTACATCATGAAGTATCATTTGAAACTATCATGAGGTTTGTTATTGTTAACTATAGTTGAACCATATTAATAATATATATATCAAATATCATGAACTCTCCGCCTTTGTGGCTGGTACTTTTCTGAAACTTGATTAAAACGACCTCCTTGCCATGGGGATGCGGCCAGAACGATGGGCATGAACTGACCCACGGTGCCCATCGTTCATTGTATTCGTCTTGTTGCTCTTATTATTCTGAATTGATTTGGGTGAAAGTAGCAGGAGACGTTTTTTTTTGATTTGAATGGTAAAAAAAAACAACATTGTATCCTAAAACATTGACATAATGTGAAGTACATCCCCAATTGTTATTGATTAAATCATATTAAACAAAATTAACTCCCCACTTTCCTTGCCTAAGTTGATTGACTCCACATTTGAATCGATAACATCCTCATCTTAGTCGCTGAAATCCCCATTTGAGTTGCCACAGAACTCTCTAATTTCAGGACCCATTTCAGGTGTTTTTTTGAGTTCATCCACAGTTGCTCTAAACCCAAAGTTTGGCCATTTTGAGTTGCTTAAGCCCAGATTTGTGTCTCTGAAAATTGAGAATCCAAAATGACCATCAAGCCACAGGGAAACTGGTGATTTGCCAAGATTTAGAGGACTTCCGCCTACTTTCTAGCCAAGCCCAAAACATCTGCTACCCCACGTCAAGTCCGCCAGGCGACCTGAGGGCGCGGTAGATTCAATGGCTGCACTGACTTCACCATGGTTAGGGGAATCATGCTCCAATTGAGCAGTGTTCAAAACCCCTGTTGGTTGATGATTACCCTCTGGTAAACATACAAAAAGCTATTGAAAATGGCCATAGAAATAGTGAGTTTTCCCATTAATAGCATGGTGATTTCCCATAGTTATGTAAACGTTTACCAGAGGGTATAGTGGATTATACTACCCAATATATTGGGGATTCTAATAATCCAAAAAGGGAAAACCCTATAAACCAACCAGTACAATGGAATGATAGAGGTATTGCATAATTTACATAATTTACAGGATATTACATGATATTACGATAATATCACCCTGTATTGTTACCCAATAGTTACATAATTTATGGACATATGGTTTTTGATCTCAACATTGTTCCATCCTGACAACTAACATTGAATAACTGAAAGTGGGGATTCAGAAGTGTTTTTAAGCAGCCAACATGGTGATTTTTCACTATAACTACCATTATTTAGCATCCCCCCACAGAATGTAGACATGTAGACCCTGTGAATTAGCCATCGTTAAACCTCCATTTGGCAGGGTTTCTGTCAGTTGGATTTGTGAATCATCCTTGATCAGGCGTATCATAAGTGGATTGTCCATGATCATCCCAGTTATAAGCATCAATCATCATGGTTGGGAGGATCACGGATTATCATCCTATGGATCATGCCAACTACCATCATGTCGCTAATTATCACATGAGCAGATTGACTGGTGCTGCCTGGGTCGTGCTTTGCCTGGGTTACAGTATTTTGCATCTCTTTACCATCCAGTAATTTTTCACATAGACATGGAACACCCAGCATTTTTGGCGACTTTTTCCTTGCGAAATCACGGTTGTTGACCAAGCCCCGACCCCAAAAAACCGATGTGGAAATCCGAAAAACATCGAGGGTTTGCTACTTGGGGTGCAGGCGGGATGACTTTTATGGGTACAACTACCATGGTCTAGCAACCTCCACACGTTGCCTGGCCCTGCTACCCTGCAACTGGTGAAATATCTCCGATGAGTTCACAACGGAACTGCGAACTAATCATAGGGAGCTCACAGCCATGCGGAATCTGAGCACCTTTAGGATATGCCAGAAATTTTTCCAGATCTAAATCCCTGGTTTAGTGACATCCTCCAGTAAAAATCCTGTAATTTTTTGCTTCAGATAGACATCGGATCAGCCGAGTGCAGAGTCTTTCTTGCGCACATTGTGGAAAGACACCTGAGATCCACGTGCCTCTCACCATGCAGTTCTCCCTTGCTCCCTGCCGGGGGCAAGGACGTCCTGTGGCTCGATGCGACGCAAAACTATCTGGGCCGCGTGGATGGGTGGGGATCAAACCGATCAAGATGCGACTTAACCTATGCGCATTGGGGCTTCAATTGACAAACATAGGGATTTACTCTCATGTACTGTATATTGAACCAACAACAAATGGGACTGACCAATCGAAACTAGTTTTGGTGTTTCAATACATTTCTCGTGCTACAAATGATGATGTTTGATGATGTTTGCACCTCATTGGGATTTTGCCAAATTTATCGTTTCTCCTCAAAAAGCTAGTGAAAACACTAGTGAAACAAACACACCATGTCGCGGTGTGAGCGAAAGGTGGATGCAATGGTTCCCATCAACTTCAAGAAACGTGACCAAACTGAAACGTTTGGTGGTTCCGGGCTGGTTCTCCCTATACCTTCTGGCATTTTAACATAATGGAAGCCATGGCCCATCACGGCCCATCACTGGCTAATGAGGTCATAGCATGTCCGTGTCTGCGTCTGCAACATTTTTGATCGGCCATCCACAGTTCACGGTTCATTTTGGACATGCACAGCGTGTGCCTACCAGCCTTCCCAAATGAGGTCAGTGGAGATTCAGGCTCAGAGCTAGGGCTAGAACAGTGAGAAATGACGTAATTCATAATATGCTACAGCTACAGTATTAGGTGATATTAGGTGTACAGGTAAGTTATCAGAAGGCTTAGGAAATTCATATGGTAATTTTTGACACTTCATTGATCTTGATTGCATTCGGGGCTTGAACGTAGCTATGGATAATCATCTATAAATGGACCGTGGCTTCCATAGCTATGGTGAATGACCAGATGGTCAATCCAATAAAAACCCATCTGAAAACCATAGTAAATCCCATCGTTTGAAAAGACGTTCAGCTGCCCTGCGCGAAAAACCATGGCGGTCGCCGGCCTCGTGATCAACGCCTTCAAGGCGAAGATGAGCCAGCCATCACAGCTGGGGAAAGCGATGTGGCGAAGGGTAATTTCAATTTGCTGCCCTAAGAAGAGTTAGCAAAATTGGTTTATATCATTTACTGTATATCATTTAATCTATGAAAATAATATATATATATATATCCTTGTGTATAAATATCTAGAGTAACTAGGGTTGTTGTAGTGATTGTAAGTATAGTTGGGTTGATACAGCAACTTATAAACTTGGGGCTTGCGCACGGGTTTCACTGATTTTACCGTAAAACATGGGGCGGGTCATGATTCAACCAGCAATTATTGGGAATCAATATGAATCAATCATATCAATCACATGTGGGATCCACAAACATAAGCTTTTGCCATGTATGCGGGTATACCGGTATACCCAGCTACAGATAATTTATTGCAGGGCATCTAAGATATGTACTGTAAGTCCCAGTTAGCAATCCCCAACAGGATTGCTGAGTCTCATGAACTACAGAATTTACAAACTACAGAACTTACAGTGCCACTGTGCTGCTCCGTCAGGCGAGCGATCAGGTGGTGGCCATTGGGATTTTTTGTTTGGCCCTCAGAGAGTCTGCCTGAAATGGGCCAGGGCCCCCCACGACTCACGGCCATCATTCAGAATATGGTGCCCATTCAACGGTACCGTTGTTGATTTTTTCGGGCTACGCTTTTTTTTTAGACACACCCGGCTGTGGGTTCGTGGATCAATAGCTATACCCTCTTGTTATTTAACATAGCTATGGAAAATGGATGAAAATGGCCCATAGAAATAGATGATTTTCCCAGCTAGAAACCTCCATTTATAAGGGATTTTCCATGGCTATGTTAAATAACCAGATGGTAAAACAAGTTTTAGGTGGAGATGAACATCCATTTGTTGATGGTTTTGTTGATGGTGAACCCCAGGGGCCCCATGGTGAAAAACCCATCCCCATGTGGCCCCTGAGCATATGAAATACGGCAACTTTATGAGACTTGGCCGCCAGACCTGAACAATTGTTGGGGTCAAATTTTTCTGGGGGCAGATAACTCATCCCAGAATTCTATAAAATTCTATGAAGGAAAATCTTACAGAATCTTCCAGTGTTTGGAGCTCTCAGACCATGGCGAAAACTGTAACACATCCCAAATCCATCGGTGTCCCTGGACACAGCTGCGTTCTTTCCTACTGTTCTGTATGCCCCCCTGGAATAGGCATAAGAAGCAAGAAACCGTTGTGCCTAAGATGTTGCAAATGCCTGCGACCAAAAAGCTCCCCCCAAGAATTTGTTGAGCATCTTGAATGCTCCGGACCATGCCAGGCGATGGGCAGAACATCCCTGAAGAATTGAGAAATTCCAAGAACATTGCGAAGGCGCGTGAATGAGTGGAACAGATTGGAGCACCAGATGAATATGGCAATATGGGTTCAAAAAAAGTCGGGGACCCCCTTTTTAAAGGACCCAAATCCGGTGATTCCACCCGGCCCTTGAGGCCATGGCCGCCATCCTGATCATCCGAAAAAAAAAGCATCGTAAATGTTTTTTTTTTGTGGTCAACCTAATGAACACAATAAGAATCCATATCCTATATATATATATTATATACATATATACATATATACATATACATATATATATATATGTGTGGTCTAACCATATACCTAACATGATCATTTCGTTTGACCATCCGAAGCTTGGGAAGCTTGGTGAAATGTTTCGCCTGGCAGGTGATGGGCGAAGTGGAAGTCTTAGAAAAGGATGATGCCAGACGTCGCTTTCCGAGGCAGGGACCCAAACATGCCATGGGTAGCTACCCGGAAATGACATTCGCAGTGAGGAACTGGAAGGCCCAGAAATCATATGAAACAATGAATGACCGTTACAAAAAAAAGGTGATTGTCCACAGCTATGTCAAACTACCGGTGCAAGCAACCAAAGACTGGGGAGAACACTGGGGTTGCTGATCTGTAGTGTTACTTTGATTTGTTGAAGCGTTTTTTTTTCACGAGTGGTCAACCAACTATTTGCGCAATCTATAGAGGGGAATGTATGATATTGTTTATGTCTTTGGTTCATCTTAAGCAAATTCAAGTTTAGTAACCAATTCTTATCCAAGGGTTGCTAAGATTCGAAACCAATTCTTACAAATTCTACCCAATTCTAACTTAGCTGGTGTGTTTAACTACTGTTCGCAGCATCAAACAGCACGCGCTTCAACTGTTTTATTGCTATCAAAATCATACCCTCCGGAAACCAAACACGGCAATAGGCAATAGAATTTCATCCTTTTGCAGATGTTTATGTTTATTCCCTTATAACCGGCCATGTTTGAGTACCGCAAGGTACATATATTTTGGGGGACAAACATCCACTAGCACCAGCTACTTTGCTGTGAAATACAGGGGTGCAGGGTTTTGCCCATACCCATGTATGCTTCAACTCCTACTTGGTTTCATCAACCGCAATCAGCAAAGATTGTTGCGATGGGGTGACATTGCCCTACTATCTGCCACAAAGGCCAGCTTGGGCATCCCAAAAACACAAACCAAGACTGTAGCAAGGCGACGAAACACGTGGTGGATATCTATTATATATATATGAAATATAATAATAATAATAATAATTAATAATAATAATATATATATATATATGTATGTAATATACGATAATATATATATATATGTAATATAATATAATATATATGTATGTAATATAATGTAATATATATGTAAAATGATAATATATATATGTAATATAATATAATAGATATGTAATGCAATATATATATAATATAATATAATACAAATATGATATAATATAATATGATATAATATAATATGATACGATATAATATAATATAATAAAATATAATGTGATATAATGTAATATGATATACATAATATGATATAATATGCTGATATAATATAATATAATATAATATAATGTAATATAATATATGTACATATATGTATACCCATGAGTATTAACATAGTATTCTTCAGTCGCGATTCCACATGCAGTGACACTGAGGAGTGACAGTTTTATAGTCATAGATGTCCCTTTCCCCACTGGTTGGTTTAATATACACATATATAATAGATGGTTTCCCCATTCAAACCAACCAATAGGTAGAGGATAAGAAATAATATGCCAAACCAGCCTCAACTAAAATTTTCCTAGCACAATGTTGGTTTGAACCCTTCCAAATTGCTGGGAATATCGTTGATAAAATGGTTGATGATAGGGGATTATACTATCCAACAAGCTGGGGATGACCATTATATAAACAATTTATATCAACTTATATTGTTTATCTATCCAGTGGTTAGGAGGGAGTGGTTGAGAGCTAGGGATATCCATATTCCCTACTACATGGGGACTAAGACTTTCCCGAGCACATGATAGATCATCTCGGAGTTGACAAACAAATTCAGCTTGGTGATATTTTGACCAGATTGCTAGATTCATTAGGAACACATCCCAAGTTATAACTCAGTACGTGATAGTTACACCGTAAATTATTTAAACACATCCAACTTTTTTTCTTGATTTCATTATTTCCACTCGTCGGGCCCAAACCAACAGACACAGGTTTTTGAAGGCTTCACTTTGCAGTGTGAAGTTGCTGGTGTTTTTTCTTGTTTTGATTGTTTTATATTAGTTATTTTTGTTTTTTTCATCATTTTTATAACATAGCCAATACAACCCCGCTTATGATCATGATTTGTTGCTTCAGCGCCATTGGTTCCAGGTTGATGGAGCTCTCAGAACCTTTTGGTTCCGTCGCTTGGAGCGATGCGATGGCAATTGCCGGCGCTGAATAGAGATTTCACCAAGAAAAGTGGGAGTAAGTCAGCTCTACTATGGTAATGAAGTGGGCATTTGTTGGGATAAATATCTATATACCTGAAGTATCGCGGGATTTAGTGCTGAAAATGAGGCAAACCTTCATTTTCTTGATTTGAATGGACTTAAATGAGGTTTCAAATTATCAAATCAGGGGGTACCCAAGTTTTGGACAAGACCTGAATATCCCTTCAAGAAATCCACCAGTACTGAGAGGACGCTCTCTGATTGATCGAAGGTTGGGGGAATGCTTGTAACAAGCCAAGCCGTTTGTGGAAATATGGGACATTCTCCACCTTTTGCCAAATTTGCTTGGGGAAATTTCCCACTCATCCACGCTCACTTTTTGATACTTTTTGGGGGCATGTCCAGAATAAGTCAACTTTCCCCAGAATAGTCCAATGATGTCCAATGTTTCTTGAAGCTTCCAGGCCAATATGCAGGCCTTCTAGCATGCGAAGATAAGATTGTGGGGTTGTGTAGAGGGTAAGCCTTGAGACCCAAAAGCCTTCCATTGGAAGTTTGCGTGACAAGAGGGCCTTCCTAGTGTGGCCATCTCTTAGTGCTTCAATATCAGCGTGTTAACCAAGCTGGGAACCGACTACCTCCTGGTTCACCATGGCTGGTAGCCACTTTTCTGATGAATCTCCCCTTGTTTGTTGTTTGCGGAAGATACATATATATGTATATATCTATACGTCATGTATGTATCATATATATATATGTATACACACCATTTTTCATATGATCTCAGTATATCTCAATTACATCACCGATGATGAGTGTCATAATGTCATTCTTGTTCGCTGAATCCCAAGTCCGGTTCCTGTTTTTGTTTTGTCAAAACACTATGTCTTTGTGGGTTCAGCCCCTATGTTTCCTGGATGAACAACAATCGTTTCTAGGTCACAAAATCACTAACTCCCAAATTTTGTTTGATTTAAAACTGATATCATCAATCACTACCCTGGGGTAAACTAACATAGATGCACAAAACCCATGGTATCCCCCTTCAGAAATTATCTCCATGATAGAATTTCCACATCTATGTTACAAATGTTGGTTTACAGGAGGATATCATGATATCATCCCCAATTTTTGGCCTCATCAACTCAAGTGGGTCTATCCCGCATTTGATGATTTTCCCAGCACTGAAGCTCCATTTTCATCGAGGATTTTCCAGCCAGGCATGTTGGATGGGTAAATCACCATTTTAATCCCACGAGATTTCCATGATATTCCTATGATATTCCCATGATATTCCTATGATATTCCCATGATCATCCTATGATATTCCCCTGATCATCAGAGGGTAACTCAGATCAAGACCGCTGTTTCGGTCTGCGGCAGACCCATGTTCGCCTGGCAAAGATCCGCGGCACCGAGTTCTACGGGATTGGTGGGGGCACCACATACACGTTGGCAACGGAAGAATGGGGTGAGTTCATCGTGATGGCCAATCAACAAGAATATTATATTATACTTCATTATTATGATCTAGTTTCATCCAATTTTTGGTATGATTACTGTATTCATCATCCACTTAGAATCATTGTGATGAACATCAAAAAAGAAATTTATTTGTACATCGGAAGTATGTTCATTATTGTTGGGCCAATAAACAGAGATTGTTCTTAACTAACCATTTCTTGGTGACTTAACATTGACATAATTTGAACACCATAGTTGCTAGCCAATCCTCGGAGTGTGATGATTGGGTTTATCATGTTTCCAAGATAGGCTATAATGAGTACCCTCTGGTGAACTAACATAGCAATGGAAAATCACCATTTTTCATGGGAAAATCCACTATTTCTATGGCCATTTTCCATTGGTATGTTACTTCACCAGAGGGAAATGTCACCCCTCTTGGCCTTGGATTGGACCGCTTGAAGAATCGAGCGAACTGGATTTTATTGAGGATCTACCTATAGTAATACCCTAAACGATTTGCTTATAAAGATTGTGCGATTCGAAGCTTTGCCAAGCTTTGCCCATTGAACAAGGTTAATTGATTATATATATATATACATAGCCATAAACATGGGGATATAACGATGCATAAGCAACGGGAATTTTTCACCATCAACGTAATTATTCTTTTTCTGGATTGAATCATCAGGTGATCAGTTTCTTCATGGGTAATTTGTTTGTTCGTTGTTGAAATTCAAGGCAGATTTGGGTGTGCTGTCCCACTTGTGGTTAGATACACACTATTTGCAGGGTATTGTTGGTTAAGCTTTGAAACTAACAGAGAAAAACACGTTTTCATTGCTTGGATAATCTTTCACAGTTTCCTTGAAACCTACCAAGGGACCAACCCTGATTTGCACGGACAATTTTTGGATTTTGGGAGGAACTACAAAAAAAGTCACTGAAATGGGTGAACACTTTGGTATGGCTCACCAAGCGATGCTAGCAGACCAAAAAGTTCGCTCCATGTTTCCAGACTGGTGGAGCCGATGTTTGGGCTCAGTCTGGTTCAATCAATGGTTACCCTCTGGTAATTTAACATAGCTATTGAAAATGGCCATTTATAGTTGATTTTCCCATTAAAAATTGTGATTTTCCATAGTTATGTTAGTTTACCAGAGGGTAATGGACTTCCTGCTATAATGTTTACTCAACGCAAAAACTTGATCAGGGTCAGGGTGGTTCTTTGGTCGCCGAGACACATTTGCAGAGGGTGCGATTCGGTTGCAATTGAACGTGTCTAAGCTCGTGCTTGGATATTTTTGAGCGTAACCAAGTGATTTGCAGAACGCAGCTGAAATCCAAATCCATGTTTGTATCCGAGTGATAAAGACAGCAGGTCCCAGTTAGGGTCGCCTTCAAATCCCTTCGTCCTTCCTCCGACCATATTAAATGAAATACCCGCAACAAAATGCAGGAGAAATCTATTGGATCTATTCATGACAGTTCAGGTCCTCAAGACGGGGCCCCACTAAAATGGGAAGAGTATTGAAAGTTCCTTACCTGAACTATGAACTGTAGATATAGTATAAATATCTATAAATCATAGAATACACTTCATCATGTTTTATGAAGCTATCACCTTAGTCATTTTCAGCGAGGTGCTGGGCCAAACCAGCGAATATACCATTGGGCCGCGCACCTGGCCGTGGCGCTGAGCGCGGCAATTGCAACGAGGAGAGAATGCTGCGGGCGTTTTTTGAGTTTTGCTGACCATGGTGACTTGAGCAACAAAAATGGCAGGGATTAAATGGGGATTAATGTGATTTTTCATGTTAGTTAGTTCTAATGGGATTTGATGGGAAGGTATCATGGGGATTGCAGTCGGTGAGAAAAGCCTGGTTATTTGATGTTACTGTTATTTGTATAGGTAGAGAGGTGGTCCACTTGTAATGAGGGCGTCATGCACTAAGGATGAACCAGGATGAGATCATCCGGATGATGATAGTTAGGACAGTTATGGACAGTTAGGATTGGGGGAATTCTGGTGTATGGATTTTAGGAACATACCCTATTTTGCCTATTCTGATTCATTGCTAATCATCAGTAAATATCAATCAGAATCAGTAAAACAAAGGTTTTTCAGACATATTACTGTACCCAGAGAGTTTTCTGGGTCCTTGCATTTCCCCATGATATGAGGGGTTAAGCTATGAAACATCGCCTCATGGTATTCATCAATTTTTCTGTTATTTTTCGGGTATTGAACATCACTTGCCTTCGGGGAGGTCCCAAATAAAGGTTTTACATGTCGTTTCCGTCCACGTCCGTAAACAGGGATCACCTGTACAGACTTCTCCGACTGGCTTTAGCTTATCAGCCTATCATCAAGAAATGGATAGTCATGAAGACTCTTCTTTTTCAGGGCGGAAATGCTGACTTTGGTATCTTTGGCAATGACTGCGTCCATCAGATACGGCAGGAAGAAGGAGTGGAAGAACGGTTTCAAGAATCTGAACCAGATGATGGACGAGGCTGCGCGGGGTGGAGCATGCAAGAACTGGGGAGCTCACGAGCCCAGGGAGATCAAACATGGAAAGCATCAAGTGAAACCTTGACTTGAGGTCTCAAACATTGAAGCACCAAAGCAATGTGGTCAATGCCCACACAAAAAACATTCAACAACTACCATTTGGGGAGTATTTTTGCCACTTATGTGTGGCAAATTTGTCGATCGTTATGATTTTTTGTTTACCAGTTCATGATGATGGGACTCCCGCGTAACTTGACCATGGTAATCTTTAGACATTCTGGACGCTTCAGATTTTGGATGATACCTTCCCAATTGGCAGTGTGTCAAAACCTTGTACCCCTGGTGAACATCAAAATAGCTGGTAAATGGATGTTCATCCCACTAAAAATGTATCTATAGGTATTGATCCATACCCAATTGATCATAAAAAATAACTTTATGAATGACCAAGTAATGGTTTTTTTCCAGTACATGCTACCAGACTTTCTGTGGACGTTTCAAAAAGAGACATCCATAGACATCCCACATGTCAAAGAGACAATGCAGCCAACACTCCGAAAGATTTTATACCTTAAGATCATATATGGGTTTGTCTGAAAATTAGGGATACCGGGATACCACCAATTATAGCCACAACCAGTAGGGAAAAAGATGATTATCATCCACCGGAAGGGCCACGATTTTTTAGACCATGACAAACCCATATCAAAAGTGCCACAAAAACTGAATTTGGTCTCGTGATGATGCTGCACTGTTCTGGTATACCACTTAATAGCCAAGGCTAATATTAATAGAATTGTGAACATCTCATAGGAAGTTATGCTGCTCCCCCTTGCACCAAAACAATCAAATCCGCAGTGTCTAGGATGGACAAGTTCAACAGCTACTTGGACAGATCAAAATACGAATCTAAACGTCGAGCAGTCGAAACCATGAAACGACACTTTGATACCATCAAATTATGAATTCATGGCCACACAATTACTAACATCATTGAACACATGTCGCATTGGATTTGTTCTTTTTGCGGGCCCCTGTTGTGGGTCTCATGGTCGCCCTTGTTCCTGCGCTTGGCCAGGCTTACAGTCGCCTGAAACAAAAAACTGCAACTGTCAGGCCTACATCGTCTCAGGACCCTTTGCTGAAACAAGAAGAATCAAACCTGATCAAACTAAGCCATGTGTGATCTAATCCCTTTCCCTTAATGATTAGTACAGCCCCCAGCCATGGTTTAATAGGGAATTTGCACATATTTGTGACCATTTAGGGGGTGTCTAATACTACGGGGATTGGATCATAAATATCTATGCAATGATGAAGTGGTATCCATCATATAAGACTGAATATGGATGAACACCGGAATGATGGTTTTAGGATGTCCGGATCATCAGTTTCAATTTCCACTGGAATATGTTGGATGGATGTCCATCAAAGCCAATCGAGTCTACCACCCCTGAGTTGGAGTGCCCAATTCCCGGAACAAAGTTGTTTGATGCCCACAGGCCCCATGCTTTCCAGGGTGTTGGTACCTGAGAATCTCATATGAGGTATGGAAACTCTGGTAGACCTGTTAATACTTTTTGCTTGCGGAAAGGAATCAGGCAAATAGTAAAGACGGTTTGCAGATGTGACGTATTCCCATTGCCAGCTCCAAAACGCAGTTTCAAAAAGCTTATAGCATATTTTTGTTTGCAATACATGGAGTCATATCCAAGGTTAGCAAGTGTGCTGGGACAAGTATCTGAACTTCGAAAATGGATGTATATGGATCACAGATGGTGAGTAGCTATGATATAGCCATATAGCCCACGACATCCCAGGTGTGATTCACTCGCCAATCAAGTGACTAAGTGCGAACTTGGGGGTTGACCCAAGCCATCCAAGTTTGAGGTCCAAACTGTTGACCCTGTTGGTCCTCACAGAGAAGATATCTTGGATTGGCGCATTCTTTTGGGTGACCTTACTGGGATGAAAGGTATGATCCTTGAAGTTGGAAAGTGATGGATAACTGACCAGCGCCTGAAACTAGAACATGATTAAAAGTTGATGTTGGATTCCACATTAGATCCAAGCCCTTTTTCTTGCCAAAAACAAATTGTCAACCCAGGGGCTTTGGGATCCAACGCCATCGACACGCGACGAGTGGGATTCACGACATCGAAGAGACGACTGGGATCGCAAGGACCAGAGCTCTCAGAGGTCGGACTGCTCTGGGAAATCCAATCCATTTGGGCACTGGAAAATCCCAGGAACATTTACATCGTGAAAAAAGTGGAAAATATAAGATATAAAAATACCATCTGGTTATGACTAACAGTTTGCCATGGAAAATCAGCTATTAATAGGTAAACCATCTATTTCTATGGGCCATTTTCCATGGCTATGTTAAATAACCAGATGGTATGTATACTACAATATTCGACTTGTTTCACCCATGAAACTGAAACAGCGGCAATTCCCCATTGCCATGGGAATGGGTCAAGATCGTAACAGCAGGGGGCTTGCAGCAACTGTCTCACTTGTCAGGAGGACGTTGTGATCGTGGGTTGTAGCTTCCCCAACTCGTTTCATTGTTGTTAAAAAGTGGTTACCCTCTGGTGAACTAACATAGCAATCACCATTTTTCATGGGAAATCCACTATAAATGGCCATTTTCCATTGCTATGTTAGTTCACCAGAGGGTACAACCAAATACTTGGTGACTCGAAAAGATCATTGGGCCTGGCAAGGATCGGAGACTTAGGATTTGTTAGATGATCATCCAGGGAGGCTTTAGCGCTGCTATCTGGGTTTGTACCATCCATTTTTTGGCTCAACGTTGCCACTGTCACAACCTCATGGATTGATAGATTTCCCAGGGAACTCTAAACAAGCAGAAGTTTCATGAAGTTTCCCTTTGGGGCTCGAACGAATCCCTATACAAATGGTTGGCAGTGGGACACCACCAGCAGCTTGAAGCTTTAGGACATGGGGATGTTTCAATGGGACAGCCCCAAAGCTATCCCCGCCTCTTTGGCAACGGTTTTGTTGCCGGTTGATCTCCCCATGATCGCTAGATTCTATGTGTCCAAACACCATTGACATATCCTAAATTATGCAGGAATTAATATTGTGAATCTGTTTGAAACACTTTGAAACATCAATCCCAACCTCAAGTTGGATTATCCCAGTGAGATATCACTGTATATACATATTTGATTTTGCTGGTCAAATCACAATTCTGTGGCTGACATCCAATTTTTTTTCGCACTATGTAAAAGTCACATGAATTCGTATCACGGTCTTCAAACAGTCCCAAATTGCCATCCAACCAGATTCCTTGGGTAATATATATATATGATATACATGATATATATATATGATACGTATTTGGCATCTTTCTCCCTTTTTTATTTACAGCGCCAATTTTTTAAAAATTGCTATCTCCCATATGCATCTTGCGGCTGTTTCCCTGCGAGATGGCAGATGTCCAGGTTGCGGATGGGTTCCTATGACCGCAGCAGTGACATGTCAGACGATGTCGGGGTTCATGGGGTGGTGCTTGGGGTTCTAAGCCATTTGCAAATGGGAGTTCCCACTCACGAACTTGCGTTCACCAGGATTGCTAACCACTTACTAAGTGGGATGATCCTCCAAGTGGTCATTGAAGTGGTGGATGTATCCATTGATCACGTTTTGTGAATCTGACTAAGGATCACTACCGACAAATACCATGTTTATCAATTTTTAGGGGATGAACATCCATTTGTAAGCCCTTTTAATGTGAGCACCAGGGCTACAGGGTTTTTGGAGTCACACCCAACCTTCTGACCTTCTGACGTTCACACCTTCATTTTAGGTTCAGGCTGGTGCAACCAGGAGTATCTTGGTTATGATCTCCACAGCAATCTGCACAGTGATCAGAGCCCACAAATGATGGCTATTTTCCAGTAAACTAACAAAGCTATGGAGACTGGCCCATTCATAGATGATTTACCTATTAAAAAAAACAGTTCGGTAAGCAGCGGTTGAAAATCCCAACCCATGGCTTGGTTCCAGCGAAATTTGGCCACTGTATTGGCCCCCAATACATACGAGAAGGACTGGTTGGTTCATTACTATTGTGACTAGGATTTATAGTGGATATATGATATATGAAATCAGCATATATATATATATATACAGTATATATATATATATATGGAGCGTCCCTTCCTGCAACTGTGGAAAAATAGAAATACTTTTGATGTATCATCTGAAATTCTCGCACTATTTTACAAGTGAGCCCTTTTATATCCTTTTATATATGTATGCTATGATCTCAGTCTTTCCCCATTTGTTCAGTGCTGGTACACTCACCTGTCCGGTCAATGGCCTTCTGCCACAGGTACATGGAACAATTGGAACGATGGAGCTTGGAGAGACGAAGCCCGCCAGTGGTTGCGTCCGAGGTAGATTTCAAATCCACCTGGGGTATATCCCCATAACTGGGTCATGACGGTCATGATATGGGTTCTTAGTTCCCTTCCAAGCGGGATTCACATCCAGCCCCAAGTATTTCTCTGTTTACTGGGTAAATCGATTGGTCAAGGGGTTGGTTCATGGGTTCAAGTCAAAGGAACCATGTTTCATTTGAAGCTAAACACGATTTTCTTTTTACGGGGTATCTAGGGTTAGCCATTTCCATATTGCAAGTAGGGTTAGTTCACTTGCAGTTGGGGCCCAGTTGTCAACAGAGTGCAGCACCACCTGGTCGGCCAAATTGAGTGCAACACCGAGTACCAGTGGGGAAACAAATACGCACCTTAGCTGAAATAGTGGTGTAACGACGGGAGCTCCCTTTGCAGATAATTGACCAGTTGAAACTGGGGGTGAAATCCATTTAGCCCTGGTTGTTTTGAGAGAGAGGATCCCTCCAACAAGCAAATACTGGCCTACCACGGAATCTGTCTAGACCCCCGCCCAAACAGGTACAACCCTGACCAACCGTAAAATTGCAGGCTTGCACAATCTCCGGCTGGCGCATTACCTTGCCAGGCTACCTATATAACATCCTATTGATCAGTGCGTTACAACCCCATTTGACTCCTGCACCAGGGAGCCGTCACCATTGTGTTGAAAATTCAGAAATCCCCACCGCATTTGAAACTCGGGTATCTACATTGAAACCCAAACGCCCAGAAAATGACTGGTTGTTTCATTGTGCTGATAGGGCTAAGATTCACGACGTATATAATAAATTGTTGGAAAATCCTCTTCCAAGGTTGCTTTTCGCCCAAACCGGGATATGAATGGGAAAGCTGATGATTAACCCATCTAATAAACCTTATTGGGTGAATATGTGAAAGAAAAACATACCTATTGGAAGAAGAATTTGGAGATGTCTTCAACTGGGAGACCCCAACATATCGTGGTCATTTTTGAAAAACAGGAAACCAACGCTCAAGAGGGGTACCTCAATTTTGTGAAACACAGATAAACAACTGTTTTGTTGGTTAAATCAATGAAATCACCATAATCATAGCATATCATAACTATTTATAGATGCTTATCCCATGTTGTCCCAGTGTGTGTACCACTTTAAACCACCATTTGGTTCCCCTTGGGTAATCCTTTAGGCTTGGGAATACTGAATTTTCCGATGCACCTGGCAATAGCTCACACTGGTCCTGCTCTCAGGACTCCCACACATGGCGCCGCCATGGCTGGCGCGATGACTCGCGTGACAGGGCCCGCAGCCGAGGCGTGGCGCCCGCAGATTCAAAATGGAGATACCAATTCTGAGTCAATACCCAACATGTACAAAGTACAAAGAATTGATTATGCAAACAAAAATCAATTGCAGCATCAAACCTCAATTTTTCAGAGTGTCCACATTTAAGAAAAGACATATCATGCAAACAAAAACAAGATGGAAGCCACGAACCCGAATGTATTCACGTTCTTGGACTACGAGTGCAAACCTCTGCAATGGGAAAACGAACTTTTTTTTGCATACATCGTGCGCTCATATCGTCTCAGCGAAGGCACCTGAGCAACAATTCACAAAGAAACAACTAACCAGCACAACAACATCACCACCAGCACAACGAAATCACCACCAGCACAACAACATCACCAGCGCAATGAAATCAAAACGAAATGACCAGCGCAACGAAATCACCAGCGCAACAAAATCACCAGCACAAAAACATCACCAGCGCAACGAAATCACCATCAAGACAACCTCGCCAGCACAACGAGATCACCACCACCTGCCACACTCCACACTCCACACTTTACCCACTGCACACTCCACACTTTACACATTGCACTTTGCACTTTACACTCCACACTCTACACTGCACACACCACACTTGACCCAATGCACACTCCACACTCCACACACTACATTCCACACTCTACACTTTACACTCTACACTCCACACTTTCCACTTTACACTCCTCACTCCACACTTTACACTCCACACTTTACACTCCACACTTTACACTTTACACTCCTCACTCAACACTTTACCCTCCACACTTTACACTTTGCACTTTACATTCCTCACTCAACACTTTACCCTCCACACTTTACACTTTGCACTTTACATTCCTCACTCCACACTTTACACTCCACACTGTACACTCCACACTCCACACTCTACTCTTTACACTCCACGCTTTCCACTTTACACTCCTGACTCCACACTTTACACTACACACTTTACACTCGACACTCCACACTCTACACTTTACACTCCACACTCCACACTCTACACTCCACACTCCACACTTTACACTCCACACTCCACTCTCGAAACTTTACACTCCACACTCCTCACTCCGCACTCCATCCACACTCCACACACTACACACTACACTCCACACTCCACACTCCACCACACTCTACACTCTACACCCTACACATACCACACTCCACACTTTACACTCCGCACGCCACACTTTACACTCCACACTCCTTACTTTACAAAAAGTTTGCACAAACTACTTCCCAGTACTACTGTGTACTACAAAGCTTGCACAAAGTCGATCAACGCAACAAAATCACCAGCACAAACGAAATCACCAGCACAACAACATCACCAGCGCAACGAGATCACCACCACCTGCCACACTCCACACTTTACACTTTACACTCCACACTCGACACTTTCCACTCCACAATCCACACTCTACACTTTATACTCCACACTTTACATTTTACAATTTACACTCCTCACTCCACACTCCTCACTCCACACTCCACACTTTACCCACTGCACACTCCACACTCCACACTCTACACTTTACACTCCACACTCCACACTTTACACTTTACCTTTTACACTCCACACTCGACACTTTCCACTTCACACTCCACACTTTCCACTCCACACTTTACATTTTAATACATTTTACACTTTACACTCCACACTCCACACTTTACACTTTACACTTTGCACTCCTCACTCCACACACAACACTTTACACTCCACACTTTACACTCTACACTTTACACTCCACACCCCACACTCTACACTTTACACTCTACCCTTTACAGTCTACACTCCACACTCCACACTCTACACGCTCTACACTCCTTCACACTCCTTACTTTACACAAAGTTTGCACACAGCACTTCCCAGTACTACTTTGTACTACAAAGCTTACACAAAGCACTTCCCAGGACTACTGTGTACAACAAAGCTTGCACAAACTACTTCCTAGTACGACTTTGTACTACACAGCTTGCACAAAGCACTTCCCAGTACTACTTTGTACTACAAAGCTTGCACAAAGCACTTCCCAGTACTTCATTGTGCTGCAATGTTTGCACAAAGCACTTCCCAGCACTACTGTGTACTACAAAGCTTGCACAAACACGTTCCAGTACTACTGTGTACTACAAAGCTTGCACAAACACGTTCCAGTACTACTTACTACTGTGTACTACAAAGCTTGGACAAACACGTTCCAAAAACCGTATACTACAAAGCTTGCACACACACGTTCCCACTACTACCGTATACTACAAAGCTTGCACAAAGACGTTCCAGTACTACCGTATACTACAAAGCTTGCACAAAGACGTTCCAATACTACCGTATACTACAAAGCTTGCACAAACACATTCCAGTACTACTGTATACTACAAAGCTTGCACAAAGACGTTCCAGTACTACTGTGTACTACAAAGCTTGCACAAACACGTTCCAGTACTACTGTGTACTACAAAGCTTGCACAAACACGTTCCAGTACTACCGTATACTACAAAGCTTGCAGAAACACGTTCCAAAAACCGTATACTACAAAGCTTGCACACACGTTCCCACTACTACCGTATACTACAAAGCTTGCACAAAGACGTTCCAGTACTACCGTATACTACAAAGCTTGCACAAAGACGTTCCAATACTACCGTATACTACAAAGCTTGCACAAACACGTTCCAGTACTACCGTATACTACAAAGCTTGCACAAACACGTTGTAGTACTACCGTATACTACAAAGCTTGTACAAACACGTTCCAGTACTACCGTATACTACAAAGCTTGCACAAACACGTTCCAGTACTACTGTGTACTACAAAGCTTTCACAAACACGTTCCAGTACTACCGTATACTACAAAGCTTGTACAAACACGTTCCAGTACTACTGTGTACTACAAAGCTTGCACAAACACGTTCCAGTACTACCGTATACTACAAAGCTTGCAGAAACACGTTCCAATACTACCGTATACTACAAAGCTTGCACAAACACGTTCCAGTACTACCGTATACTACAAAGCTTGCAGAAACACGTTCCAATACTACCGTATACTACAAAGCTTGCAGTACTACCGTATACTACAAAGCTTCCACGTTCCAGTACTACCGTATACTACAAAGCTTGCAGAAACACGTTCCAATACTACCGTATACTACAAAGCTTGCAGAAACACGTTCCAATACTACCGTATACTACAAAGCTTGCACAAACACGTTCCAGTACTACCGTATACTACAAAGCTTGCAGAAACACGTTCCAATACTACCGTATACTACAAAGCTTGCAGAAACACGTTCCAATACTACCGTATACTACAAAGCTTGCACAAACACGTTCCAATACTACCGTATACTACAAAGCTTGCAGAAACACGTTCCAATACTACCGTATACTACAAAGCTTGCAGAAACACGTTCCAATACTACCGTATACTACAAAGCTTGCAGAAACACGTTCCAATACTACCGTATACTACAAAGCTTGCACAAACACGAGGTTTTGCAGCTTTCCCCATAGACACGGAATTATCGACGCGAAAAAAAAACGCAAAACGTCGCGCCGACCAACTGGAGGCGAACAAGGGTCCAGCCCCCAGACCCCCAGACTATAAACGGGAACCCTTCGCTACGCATTCGGGAATCAATTGCAGCATCAAACCTCAATTTTTCAGAGTGGCCACATTCACTAGGTAAGACATATCCAAGGTTTTTTTTTTCGGGGTTTACATGAGCTTCCACCGAATTTCAATTGTGTAATGTGGGCAGAATATTTCAGTGCTAGCCACATGTGATAGAAGGACGGACTCCTGTGATGATTGTGAAGGGTATGAGCCAAACTTGAAGGGCATTTTGGGCAAGTAACTGTCCCATTCTAGGATACCACATCTACAAAACATTGACCATGTTGCTGGTCATATTCCCATGTTTACCCTTCGTGGTTCTAAACATGTTCACCAGCGCTTACTTTTTGGCAACAGTGTTGCTTACCTTCTGGTAATCATGGCCTTATAATAGTACTATAAACACATTCAATATGTCCCAGGTATATGTTTCTACACTTGACATTTAACGGTAACTGTTGGTAAATGTGTGCAACTGTACCCTACATGGAGCCTAGAGGATTGGGGATTTCCATGTATTCCAGGCCGCTCGAGGCACAGTGTCTCTCAGGTGGGCATGGATCCGTTGGTGGGGTGGACTTCCTGGTTACCCCCACCCCCAAAAAAAACCGAACGACTAGCAGTTCAACGGCTAGCAGTTCAATGTCTGTTCATACTGTTTGTATCTTTTCTTAAGGATATATGTAAGGATAAATCACAGATTGGATCAGTCAGCGACATGGATGTTTGCAGCTACAGCGGCCCCAATGTTTTTGGTTACACGGCCACTGGGGCGCCACATAAGCATTAACACATTATATCGTTTGATAACGTGCAAGTCATGTTGCACACCCATGAAGGGGCGGGAGGGGGAGGTTCCGGGGGGGGCTGATATCGTTCGCTTACATGCGAGAAATAGGCACAACTCTACATCAAACAGAGAAGTATATACTGGAAAAATGTTTGCAAAAACATGCCTGTGGGATCCTGTAGGCATGCCATTAAATCGATGTATGAACCCCTAGAACGACAACATGGGAATCAGTACATGTGTGAATGCGTTCTGGGAAGTGAAAGTGTGGTGTTAGTGCAAACGGTTTTGCATCCAAGCACGTACTGTTTTGTGGGCACTAAATGAATGGTGTCTCGCTGTCGCTCAACCGCTGCTTTCAAGCAGGGACGATGATAACAGATCTCCTTCCCAGCTGTCATTGACTCTTGTCATTCTACCAGAATTGTTTCCCGCTTTGAACGATAACGAAAACGTGGACGACACGGGAATTTCAGAAAAAATCCGTCACTGATGGATGGCCCCGGATGTGAAAAGATTCGTTAGATAATTCTTTGCCTTTTATATATATAATATCCTTTCTGCTTTGCTTTTTCTCTTGCAGCGCTCCATTTCTTTCTCGTCAAAATACAGCTGCAGCCTCGGCCCATGTGGGTTGAGGGGAGCTTGGCTAAAGCATTGGAGCGCAGCAGGAGAAAGCGCAAGGCAGCGAAGAAAACTGCAGAAACTGAAGTGGAGATCAAAAAAGGTTTCCCGCACCCATTTTGCAAGTGGTTCCACATGAAGTCAAGTGCACTGAAATCTCAATGGCGTAGCATCAAGTATGTGTGCAATATAAGCGAAGTTGAAGTAGCGTAGCATCGAGCATCATATCTGACAAGGTTAGGATAATGTTAGGATACACTTCAAGTACAGCATATTATCAAGTATGTAAGTTTACGTGGACGTTAAGTAGCACAACATCCAGCACGTGTGCCAGTGCAACTAAAGTTTTAAGTCGCCTTGCAAAAATGAGCGTATCATTGAGAATGAGTGCAGTCAACAGGCAGAATGGAACATGTGTTGCACTTGTACATGGACATGTATTTTCAACGCATGAGCGATCCACAGAACCTGGGGAAATGCGATGTTTGGCCAAAGTTATCGCTTTTTTATGTTTTTTTAGGAGTTCACTATATCGTTTTTACAATACCTGATTGCAAGAAACATGGCCCAAGACTGAGTTTGTTTCTTCATGTTGGGCCAGAATGCTGCCGACCAATGGAAGGACGTAGGAATTCTGTGCAGAAACCCAGCTAATACAGACCTTGTTGGATCTTATTGGGTAAATATGTGAAAGAAAAACATACCTATTGGAAGAAGAATTTGGAGATGTCTTCAACTGGGAGACCCCAACTTATCATGGCAAATTTTGAAAAACAGGAAACCAACGCTCAAGAGGGGTACCTCAATTTTGTGAAACACAGATAAACAACTGTTTTGTTGGTTAAATCAATGAAATCACCATAATCATAGCATATCATAACTATTTATAGATGCTTATCCCATGTTGTCCCAGTGTGTGTACCACTTTAAACCACCATTGGTTTCCCCTTGGGTAATCCTTTAGGCTTGGGAATACTGAATTTTCCGATACACCTGGCAATAGCTCACACTGGTCCTGCTCTCAGGACTCCCACACATGGCGCCGCCATGGCTGGCGCGATGACTCGCGTGACAGGGCCCGCAGCCGAGGCGTGGCGCCCGCAGATTCAAAATGGAGATACCAATTCTGAGTCAATACCCAACATGTACAAAGTACAGTACAAAGAATTGATCATGCAAACAAAATCAATTGCAGCAGCATCAAACCTCAATTTTTCAGAGTGGCCACATTCACTAGGTAAGACATATCCAAGGTCTTTTTGTTCGGGGTTTACATGAGCTTCCACCGAATTTCAATTGTGTAATGTGGGCAGAATATTTCAGTGCTAGCCACATGTGATAGAAGGACGGACTCCTGTGATGATTGTGAAGGGTATGGGCCAAACTTGAAGGGCATTTTGGGCAAGTAACTGTCCCATTCTAGGATACCACATCTACAAAACATTGACCATGTTGCTGGTCATATTCCCATGTTTACCCCTTAGTGGTTCTAAACATGTTCACCAGCGCTTACTTTTTGGCAACAGTGTTGCTTACCTTCTGGTAATCATGGCCTTATAATAGTATTATAAAAACATTCAATATGTCCCAGGTATATGTTTCTACACTTGACATTTAACGGTAACTGTTGGTAAATGTGTGCAACTGTACCCTACATGGAGCCTAGAGGATTGGGGATTTCCATGAAATCCAACTTGCGATCGATCGCTGCTGTATTCCAGGCCGCTCGAGGCACAGTGTCTCTCAGGTGGGCATGGATCCGTTGGTGGGGTGGACTTCCTGGTTACCCCCCCCCCAAAAAAAAACCGAACGACTAGCAGTTCAACGGCTAGCAGTTCAATGTTTGTTCATACTGTTTGTATCTTTTCTTAAGGATATATATATATAAGGATACATCACAGATTGGATCGGTCAGCAGCATGGATGTCTACTAGATGTGTTTAGTCATCCATTGAATGGGTGCAGTGTACGGGTGTGACCCCCAAGAATAGGATGTGTCAAGGTTGGAAGCGACCAAATCGCATTCCTACCGCCGTTTGATTAAGGGCTGGGAAAACTCCAGCACCTTTCTTCGAATGTGAGTGATTACTCCATCTGCTATGATCCAGGCTTTTCCTTATTTTGATATTTTTTCACGAATTCTTTGAAACATGGCAATGTTTATGATAGTGCAGCTTGGTACTTTCACCATACGCTCTAAAACAAATGATACTCTGGACATCACTGGTCATCCGATTACTTCCTTGCGAAGCATATGGCTGGACTCCCAAAACAGAGCCACATCACCAACATCAAAAATATGTCATGACAAAAATGTTCCTCCCCTTGGCATTGTCGACTCATAGCAGGGGCTCGACAACCCCAAGAAGACTGGGCAGTGTTGGAGATGCTAACATTGTGTGTTTTGGGTTACAAAGTGGGACCCCCCTCAACAAAATGTTTGAACTGATACTAAATCCATTAAAATTATAGGGACCTTCTAATGGGAGCAATATGGGATGGGAGCAAAAAAAGGAGGCGACCGTGGGAGGCGACCGTGGGAGGCGACCATGGGAGGGGTTTCATCATTTGGGGTCTCCCTAGATTCCACCAAGAACTTTTCACAACCGGCAATCACATCTACCGCATCATGGTTTTGAACTTCTAGCAATCCGAGTTCATCTGAATATCTACTTCTTTAGGGTCCCATTCGCCCCCCATTCATAATGTATAAGTATTTTGAACATCTATTTCGTGCATTTGAATTCCACATTCATGCTAAGGTCAAATGGGAAGTGAAGGAGGAAGACATCAGTGAGGCTCGCCCCTTAATCAAACATGGATGGCTAGGAAATCCACAAACTAAATGCGCATTTTATTTGGGGAAATTATCGAACTACATGGGAAATTGTCCAACAATAATAATCAAAACTTGTGTTAATGCATCAAAAGGGGGGTTCGTCCTAGTTTATCCAACAAGAATGGGGACAATCACTAGTCACTAGCAAGAATCAAACATGGCGATTTAACGTATTTTGCAATCAAAAACATGTTGTTTACCGATGATTATCCTGCTGTTGAATACTCATATCACGCCCAAAACTGGGGTTGCAAGCTATTGTCCAAGTGTTTGTTAGCCTTTTCTAGGATCGATGTGACAATTCCGGAAATGCTGTGATATAGCTGCGTGAGTCTCAAGGTCCTATATTGGGAAGTATCGCGTAAAGAAATCTACCATGCCACGGTCAAATTCCACATCCTTTTCCATGCCCAGCATCCACGTGTGATCTCTCCTCGTGTTCTGCGGTTGATCTCATCATTTTGGATATATTTAATTTCCATGCTCAGGAAAATAATTCCAAATTCAAACAAGCGCCTCCTTTTTAGTTTGTTGTGGTTGATGTATTTTGTTTATAGTTTCTATGCAAAAGTCACCATCCCATTTTGTTGGTCACATCGATCAATTTAGCATAACAATTTTCCTGGTGAAGACCAAAACAATGAACAGAACCGATTGCGCAAACAGGATGTCTACCCAGCCGTGTTTCTGAGAGTTTCAACTTCGAATAGACCTATCCTACTTCCCCTTTTCGTCCCTTTTCAGTATATCGTATCCCCAGTTTTGAACTCAACCAGACTGCAGGAAACTTTTGCAACTGGCTTTTGAATGTTTTTGATGGCTGTACCGAATTTTCAGTGGAAAATGGATGAAATGGAATCCCGATGAATCTCTGACAACCCCCATAGCCGCAGGCAGACTACGACGATGACGAAGTCCCTTCTCCATCGCCAATATCGCCAATGCCGGAGGAGCCACCCCAAGCTGCTCGGTGGTTGAAGAAATCTAAAGGATATAACCTCCATTGAGCATTAAATTATAGATATCTCTACTATAAGCCTATTCTAATTGGACTTATGTTCACCAACTTTGCGAACGAACTGGGGCACCACCTTGGCCCGAGCTTTTTTATGGGTCTCTCCTCAAGTCCCCGGAATCCTCTGTTCAATCATGTTCCTTTGCTCCAAATTTAGATACAAGTTTGGAGCAATGTGGATCGACTTGGAGCACTGCTCTCATCCTGTTGGAGCTTACCCTGGAGTAAGATGGAAACATAGAGATGGACAAGCCGCCATTTCTAGATGGTTTTTTCCCTTCGGAAAGCCACAGATTTCATCAGATTTCCATATCTAGCAAATGTGTGGTTCAACTCTTTGTAATCATAGTCAGTATTTAACAGTGGCCACAAAGATGGCCATCTGACACGATTTGACCAGTGAGCCCCCCGATTTTGTCCAACCACAACTCGACACGGATAGAGTTCAACACCATTGGCCCCAAAAAAGGTTGGTTCTGCAAATTTGTATCAATAAATGCCAATGCTGTGAGGCCGTTGGCACTTCACTCCTGAGCCATCCCCGTCTCACCTCAGATTCAGTAACTGTTCTCCCAACTCAACTCGACTTGGACGATCATCCAAATGGAGTCCTGCCGCGAATGTCCCTGTGCCCAGCAAATTAGACCATCCGAAAAATGATAAAAAGCAAACATCTAGATATGGATTGATATAGATAGATATAATATACAATATACACATGTATATACATACCTATGGGATATATGTAGTTCTAGATATCTCATTCTTCTATACTAATACTGCTTGAATGAGATTCGATGTGCAAGGCCGCAGCGGTGGATCCCGCTGCTGAACGCCTGGGCGACGTTGAGGCGAGCACCGTGCCATGGTGCCATAGGATCCAAAGCTGGATTGAATGGGACAATAGTGATGATTGGGGACTTACCCTAGGATCAACTATATTGAATTTAGGATATATTTACCCCATGATTAATATAATTGCCATATAGAATGGGAATGAATGGGATACATGGCACCCTTAATGACACCGATTCAATATTACAAGTAACCCGGATGGGATTCGTAATATTGTGGATTTACCCTAGGATAAACTAACAGTTCGATGTGGACAACCGAGCAGAAATGTAGATTTAACTATCTTCTAATCCAGTGTGATATATGGATTATTCCAAGGCGAGGGCCCGTTTACTAAACGGAATTCACTTATTGAACTAAACCAACATGGCTGCGTGCCCCATCTTGTAAGAAAAAGGGGGAGAGTCTCAAGCTTGGAACCATGAAATTCATACAATGTGGGGCCCCCCAGTTATAAGTTGATTTATAAACCCCAGTAACTATAGTTATATCTGCCATAAACCATAGTTATTGGAGTTATTGGCACCAACTTAGCTATCGATCGGGGGCACCACATTGTATCTCCAAGATGCTCCAAAACTCTTTTTTTTTGACCCAGTTTTGGGATATCACTGGGGATTTTTTAGGACATTCAACCGACTACAATCCAACATTGGATTAGATTAATCCATGATAAATTCATGGGGGATGATCATCAATCCATATATATATATAATGTCTAAAAATGGGGGATGCCCGTCAATGGATGTCAATGGCACTTTGATAGGGAACATGATAAATCATGGGATTTTTGGGTACCCTTTTTGTCGGCCAACCACCTCATTGGGGGAACTGATCCTTGCTCGTCGACACCAGCTTTTGAAAAGGTCGCTTCAACCATGCCAGGTGATGTTAATCCCAACAGCTGACAAACTCTAACATTTCAGGAGAGGTCATCCAATCCAAAAAAATGTTATGTTACCCAACAAGTAGTGTTTTTTCATTTTTTTCTGGATCGAAGAAAAGGGTAGGTACCATTTTAAAGAGTAATTTATCGCTATTTGATGTTGTTATTGGGGAAACCGTTAATCACCTCAAAGCAGTCACAGTTTACCCATAGGATCCATGTATGCTATATATGGTAACATTTACCATATTATTTTACCATCAATATACCCCAGTCATGTTAGCATATATATACCATACATGGATCCGTCATGGGTTATGAATCCAGGGTTATCAATAGACCCCAAGTCACGGATTTACACCCAGGGATCCCCACTGAGAATCCTGACGTCAGGAGACTGCCGCGAAGGTCCGAGATCTAACCGACAGATTGGTGGCCCCGCAACAGCAGCGGGAACAAGGTGGGGAACATGGCTGGGAAAATGCTGCGGAATTGAAGAATCGGGGGAGAAAGCCATGGGTGATCCCATTTTGATGCTGAATTCCCTGGTAAGTCCCTGTGATTTTGGTGGTAAGATATGTAAAATCTTTATTTTGGGTCAAAGACGCGCACACAAACAGAACCAGGGCTGGGTGAATTAACCCTAGTTGACCATAGTCAAAATTGTAGTTGTAAGATGTTGTAAGCCCTGTATCAACTTGGGCACATGGATTGATTTACAAAGATTTGGGATTTAGCAAGCATATTTTTGTATTGGATTGACAGCCAAATGGATATTGCACCATAGTCGGACATATTTCTGCTGGAAGAACTGGAAATCAACAACAACACATGGGGATTCAGCTGGCATTTTCTTTGAACATCTTTGAACTGGGGCTACGGGATACCTATCATCCCCGTGTAAATTTGCACCTATTCGACAAGCACGTACTACATAGTGCTCAGGGATACGGCCAGAAACCAGGTACTGATTTACTTACCACTTACACTCCCTAATTAATTTCCGGGAACCTCTACAATTGGCTTTGATAGATGAGAAACCCATATAAAACATGATAAAACCATGTCACCGGTTTTTGGTCATGGCCATAAACAATCTGCGTTCCATGTCAAATTCATGGGGCGTATTTCATGTCAGACACAAACAAAATGGCGATGTTTTGTGGAGCTTCAGTTTCCAAGAGCGGATTCTTTGGCACTCAATGGCGGAGTCTTCAAGGATGATGCTGGAAAGATAGTGTGGATTCTGGATCCCGAATGTTTGGACGAATTTACTAGAATCCCAAAATGGGTTTGATTGAAAAGGGTAATTTATTTCACCTCATGGCTTTGAACACAATGTTCCCCATTCAATCGGCCACAACTTGCAACAACTCCCAAGCTTTTAATCCATATATCACTATTGTTGCTTAGTGATATCCCCATGACATAAAAATATTCCCCAGGAAATATCCCCATTTGATTGGGTTTGTTTGACAGGTTCGATAGATCGGATACATTGCCAAGTTGAATATATGGAATATGATAGGAAAGATAGAGAACCAGGCAGTACTCTCTGGTAACATTGTGAAGAACTCATTTGTAGATGATTTACATATTAAACATTGCCATTTTCCATGGTCATGTGAGATTACCCACGGGGCTACCTGAAATTTTCGATGACAACCAGCAATCAGATCGGACCACAGGTGAGCATCACCCCATAGAAGCCCTACGGGACGGACCTACGTCGGTGAAGGTGGGACCTGTGTCGGGACCTCTTTCGGAACGTTGGTGCCAGGTTCTCCGGTTTCCTCGTTCCCTGAGACACGTAGCGATTTGGGATTCCCCAAATGGCAATTGGCGTTGGGACAAGGATCCCTTGGGCCCATCATTTTTGGCCTTTTTTTGTTTGATGGATCTCATATAATTATTAAGCTTTCGGTGATGAAATCTGTTTGTTCAGTTGAATAGATTGTTCCCCTTGCCTGAACTTCAATAGGAGCAACCTCTGGGTTCTCACCATTGCTGCCGAAATTGGTTTCTTTTTTTCCTGGTTGTGGTTGTGGTTGTCCTATTGAGATTTTTCCTATTATTCGACATTATTCGTTGTTGTTGCTGCTGCTGTTGCTGTGGTTTTTGTTGTGCCCTGTTGCAGTTCTACCGGATGCAGAATAACCACAGCGTGATCGTGGATTTCTCTGCAGACACAGCGAAAGGGAAACGACTTTCTGTGTCTCGGCAATCGCGCCATGTGGGAATCTCCGCTTTCATTCTTATGAGTACTTGGGTCTGGGTCAAAAATGAATAAAGGCTTCAGACCCGGAAGTCAAATTTGGTCGTTTCTAGTATTACCTTAATGTTGAAATCTGATTAGTAAACCCCCACCCCCTGACAACGACGATTGCCACCAAGGACTTGACTTTGATCTATTGTGGCACTGTTCCTTGATGCCAGGTTGGGGCAGGCGATGTTGATCACAATTAAATTTGGCGACCCATCAAGGGTACCTGTACTCCCGCTGTTTGCGTTGAAATGCCACAGTTTGTTTTTTGAAGTTTAAATGCTTGGATTTTACCAGTTTGTCCTTCCTTCAAACTTCAAACTACCATTAACATCCATGAACAGTTATTATTGCTTTAGTCAACGAGTATATAAGAGCCTCAACCAATAAATATGAATAAGAATAATCCCATCCCCTTAATATAAAACACCCCATTCTATGGTCCCAATTATGTGGACATGTCCTGCATCCACCATGGTTTCTGACGGGGTGTTGAATATGAACGGGGGAAGCAAGCAGCATCAACCAGCTTCGTCTCAGGCGCAGTGGTGGGACGCCGCTTTTCAACAGCACAGTTGCTGGGCTAAAAATGCGGCGCAAAGCGCCCGGCTCTGTCCCTGAAAAAGACATGGGGATGGGTCAAGTTCGCTAGGAATTTACCATAATATGACTGGGGGAATAACCATCCAGCTACACCAGCTGTGACTTAGGGTATCGTTTGGGTACCAGGGTTTTGACCATAACCACGTGGAGAATTTTCAAGACAAGATCCGTGCTTTGTCTGAAACCTGAAACGGTTACTAGCCTAATTTCCACTCACTAGAAATGAACTTCAACTTGGGGCATTGTATCCACAACACCATCCTGAGAATGAGTTCTGCTGGGCATATTTGTGGATTCCCTGATTTCGACAGTCCTGCATAGAGACACTGCTGATTTTTTCCCCGCATCATATTCCCCGTCCAAGGGCTTGGTGGACCCCGCTACCAGCATCTACCAGCCATACGCAAAGCGAATGGGGAAATATTACCAAGGGTGGTAAACCAATTATTTTCTAAGATAATATGGTCATGTTACAATTTAATAGTGGTTGTTAAAGATAATTAAGATCATGTGTTTGCTTTTGGGTTTACCCCGATTTCTAGACACATCTCTGCAATAACAACATTAAGAGCCTTTTTCGCCGACCCGGACCGATGTTGTGTCTACTTCGATCTTCCCAGCTGTGGCTATGTCATTGTTTCAAGTTTTCAAGGGCTCATAGGGATCTAACCTTGAACAGTCCATATCAGTCCAACGATTTGCTATGTCAAGTTTAACGTCATCGAACGTGGGCAACGGGAGAAATTTCATTCGCATATGATCCCTTCAAATGGCTTCCCATTTGCTAAGCATCACAACCATCACATGCCGCCTTGGTTGACTGCATGACAAGCACATTTTTTTCAGGTGAAGGTACCAATGCTTGGTAGGATTTGGGTTTAATGAGCTGGCCCTTTAGACGGAAAATGGCCGTTTGATGGGAAGCAGATGGAGAAATGAGGATCATCCTCTCGAATTGCTTTCTGTTTATCTTATTTCTTCCCGACAAATCCATTTTGTGAAGCAGTTCTCGCAGGCAAAAAGGACATTTGGGAATGGATAAAAGAAGAGCAGATGCCTGGCGATTGCAATCCAGAATTTGGTGGAATTGCTGGGGACTGTATTGATTTGGGATGGTTCTATGATTGATATGTTGTGTTTATTCACTTCCACTTGTGCATACAATATACATACATACATACATACATACATACATACATACATACATACATACATACATACATTACATACATTACATACATTACATACATTACATACATTACATACATTACATACAGTACATACATTACATACATTACATACATTACATACATTACATACATTACATACATTACATACATTACATACATTACATACATTACATACATTACTACATTACATACATTACATACATTACATACATTACATACATTACATACATTACATACATTACATACATTACATACATTACATACATTACATACATTACATACATTTCATACATTACATACATTACATACATTACATACATTACATACATTACATACATTACATACATTACATACATTACATACATACATACATACATACATACATACATACATACATACATACATACATACATACATACATACATACATACATACATACATACAACATACATACAACATACATACATACATACATACATACATACATACATACATACATACATACATACATACATACATACATACATACATACATACATACATACATACATACATACATACATACATACATACATACATACATACATACATACTACATACATACATACATACATACATACATACATACATACATACATACATACATACATACATACATACATACATACATACATACATACATACATACATACATACATACATACATACATACATACACATATACACATATATATATATGATATATTTATATGTATATACGCCCGTATCATGGTATTGTAGTTTTGCATTATAAGTAACTTAAATCTAGTATTTAGCGGTTTGAGATGAAAGTACATCTCTTCAAGGCTCTTCCCAAAAAGGGTCCCGGCTACAAGCTACGAGCTTTCATCCGGGATGGGTGGCCGAATAGCAAGATATGGTTGGGAGCTGATGTTCCCGGTATCCCAGAATGTGTGGCTCCCAAACGATAGGTAAGTTTGTTTTAACTAGGCCAACAATTGGATTCATATTTGTAGGATTCTGATTTTTTTTAAAATCAAATTACAAGTGGGGGCCCACATTGCAGTAGGTGGTTATCGGTGGCTGAAAGACAAGCCATGCTTCCTGACATCATGTATATGTCCAACTGTATAATGCTTTAGTGAACACATTCATTTATCGTTGGGACCTGATCTTGTAGTATCATTTGAGCAATTTTCCCCCGAGTTTTGGTTGGCTGATGGTTTCAATGTTTGGATTATTATGATTACCAATGGGTCAACAAGGATTGCAACCATTGATGAATATCCCCATGAACCTGTACTGCCATTCCTCCAATAACCCTAAACCCTCCCTTTCCTGAACATTTTTCCCAATTTTTCACAGGTCCACCACAATCCAGCTGGGTTGCTGCATGGGTGTTTATCATTTTATCTTAGATTTATCTACTACCAATCATATGATTATATTTTCATTGTCGTAATATATCTGATCCCCGCTTGGGATTGCACCCCACACAATGTGGGAGTCCCCAAGTTATAAGCTGGTCTACAATCGCCCATCTAACTGTACACTGTAGATAGAACCACCAGAAGTCCAATCGTTAGCCCACTGATAGACTGACTTATGACTTACCAAGCCAAATCCACACTTCAGTTAAATCACCATTTCGGTGGATAAAATCCACATTTCGGCAGATTGCCCTGGAAATTCCCCAAGGAACTGCCTCCTGATGGATCTCATGGCAAAAGGCGCAAGAATATTTTTCCTGATCCCAGGAAAAAAGACGCTGCCGGACCAAGAGCTGGACTCGACTGTGGGAGATGGGAGATGGGTGAAGACGGTGAAGATGTGACAAGGTGGTTTCACCACTGAAAAGGGCGACTTGCGTAGCAGAAATGGTGGTTTAGCAAGCAAACATGCTGATGACATGGGGATTTGATCGACAATAATCAGGATTGCTCTAACCAACTGCAGGTAGCCCTGGTAGCCACTTTTGTGGAGAAATTCGTGATTTTGACTATTTACTTGCCAATTTTTTCCCCTTGTAACTGGTACGTTGGGGGCAACGCTGTGTCAACGGGTGAAGCTTTGGTTTTAAAGTCAGGCAAAGCCAACAAGTGCGTGAAAATACAAGAAACATGTGCGAATGGCAAGCAAAACGATGGCAGCGACACAAATAATATGTTTGGGATTAGGTTAGTCATAGTGTATTATATATATATACACACACACACTTTGAACAGCAATGATCATGACGACAATTTGACTTTCCTCCCAGCTAGCTTGCTGATGCGTCACACGCTGCTGCTGTGCATTGAACTTTGTTTGGAGAAGTATAGAAGGTGACCTAAGTCGGGTCGTTTGATTTTCAGACTGTTGAACAATGATCCAACATGATCCAACAATGCAGCATAGAGGCCTTGGACTTTTTTTTTCAAATCACTTTTTTCCTGAGCCTCTCAACTTCCACTGCGAACCTCAGATTTTTTGCAGTTCGATCTCTGACAGATCGCTGACAGACACCTCAAGCCACGAAGCCAGGAGCCCATTGTCGACTTTGTGAACTCTGTCGGCACGGGTCTCTTGGCGAAGTTCTCTTGGATCTGAATCTGGACCTCAACAGCGCACCGTTGTGTTTTTTGTGTTGCCCAAAAAGAATTCAAAAAACACACGGCCTACTGGGTTGACAAACTAGTTTTCAACAGGGATCGGATATAAAGCCGCTTAACCATATGCCGAGTCAAATATGTAAGCTACATCTTCAATTGTTGAGAATAAGTTAAGGCTGGAAAAATTTTCCAAGGATCCCTTAAGCCATATTTTTGGGTGGCCGCCAGGTCGCCTGATTGCCTTGGGATGCAGTGCTGGAGGAATGCTGGCACTGCGACTCCTTGGATTCGAAGGGAGCAGGACCAGCAGGACCAGCATCCACACGGCGCTGGCGGTGTCTCCAGCGCCACTCACGCAGGAAGATTGGCTGAAGGCGGGGATGAGAGTTTGGACGGAGCCAGATGAGTATGGATCAATACCTATTAATACCATTTTTAGTGGGATGAACATCCATTTACCAGCTATTTTGGGGTTCACTAGGTACCAGGGTTTTGACCCATCCCTAGATGAGCATAGATGAGCCAGAGAGTTTTTCACCAAGAAAACTTGAAATTTGAAGTAGCAAAGATGGGGTGCACCAATCAGGCTGAGGATTGAGGGGGGAAAATTCCAAGTTCGAACTATAATTCCTCAGGAGAACTATTCTTGAAGCAGAACCCCTTTTTTGCGCGTGCGTCTTGCTCACTGGGCCTGAAAGACCACGGTAGCCATGTATATGATATATGATCATCCCCAACATTGGATGGCTAGTTTAGCCCTCTAGTTTTTTGCTATAAATAAAGAATAACCACAACTAGCAAAAGATTGCAATTTTGTGTTGACTATCAAAGATTAACCAATACTATAACCAATTTTATACACTCTGTACATACATGGTCTATACATATTGTGTTGGTCTGCAGCTTCAAACCACTCACCCAACGCCATTTTTTCAACTACGCGAACTGAGCGTAAGCATTGAAGGTACAATCAGATGTTGCTGGTACAATCAGATGTTGCTGCAGATCCAACATTTTCCTAATGTTGGTGCATATCAAACCCCAAAAACAGTGTCATAATATGTATCAACATTCAAATCCTGGATGGCGGAAGACCTCAACACGCATTCTTAATTTTCGGATGTTCGCGATGGATCACAAGGTTGCTATCAATATGGTTGAGACGCGAACTCATTGTTTTTCCACAATCATAGAACACGTAAATATATAGTTGTGAACACATTGTGTTTTTCTTGGTGCCTAGTTTTGGGCCATACCTAGGTTGTTGGTTAGACTAAAAAAGTACCAACAGCATTAATAGAACTGTCACATCTTCCCCGCTCATTGAGAGCCATATGGGATGATATGACCAAAGCATACCAAGGTTATACATATAATATATATATATATACTATATCCTTGAGTGCATTTGGTAGTCAAGCATGACACTGGTAAACAATAGTAGGGTCAGCCAGAAAATCATAGTTCAAAGGATAGGTTCCTTTTTCAGCCAGACGTGCATCTTTAGATATCTTCAAGTGAACAGAGCATGTGAGGCATGTCCCCCTCACTCTTCATTTTTTAAACGAACACAAAATGATAGATCCAGTACTGGAAGTCCCATGATGTGTTAGATTTCCCATGATGATCCATGATGTTCCAACACCAAGCAACATGACACAAGAGCAGCCACGACCCAATCTCTGCATCTGCATCTGTGTCAGGTGCACTCTTTCAGCCAGGACTTGAGCGCGCAGCTTAAACAGAAAACACACAAGAAACTGCATCTGTTCCTTGGCGTTGCACGGGTAAAGATATGGGAGCAATGGCCCGTTTGGTTCAATGATTTACCAACAACAAAACCGGGTAGTTTTTCATAGCTATGCTCGATTACTAGAGTGTATGCGGATTAACGACTTAAATGTATATCAGTGACAGGACTATGAAAACCATTTCTGAGATGGTACTAGACACGTTGCAATGAAATCTCCCTATGTAGAACATATATAATTATATATATAATATATAAGCAGTATGAGCAGCAACAGGGTTTAAGCAAGAACCACTGAGTCATTATGTGGGGAAACATGAAACAAGATGCAGCCCACGAACCCGAATGCTCACACGTATGTTAATGGTACAGATGTCGACACAGATGGTTTAAGCAATCACGCAGAACACTTTTCTGAAACAGTTGATTTAAACAGTCTTGTCCATTTGGAGTGTAAAGTGTCAAGTGTGGCGTGCAGAGCTTAAAAGTGTAAAGTGTAAAGAGTGGAGTGTGGAGTGTGTAGCGTAAAGTATAAAGTGTAAAGTGTGGAGTGTAAAGTGCAGAGTGTGGAGTGTAAAGTGTGGAGTGTGGAGTCTAGAGTGTAGAGTGCGGAGTGTAGTGTGCATAGTGTGGCGTGTAAAGTGTGAAGTGTAAAGTGTAGAGTGTGGAGTGTAAAGTGTGGAGTGTGAAGTGTAGAGTGTAAAGTGCAAAGTGTAAAGTGTGGAGTGTATTGTAGAGTGTAAAGGGTGGAGTGTAAAGAGTAGAGTGTGGACTGTGGAGTGTAAAGTGTAAAGTGTGGAGTGTATAGTGTAGAGTGTAAAAGGTGGAGTGTAAAGTGTAGAGTGTGGAGTGTAAAGTGTGGAGCGTGGAGTGTAGAGTGTGCAGTGTAAAGTGTGGAGTGTAAAGTGTAGAACGTAAAGTGTGGAGTGTGGAGTATAAAGTGTGGAGTTTCGAGTGTTAAGTGTGGAGTGTGCAGTGTAGAGTGTGGAGTGTGGAGTGTAAAGTGTGAAGTGTGGAGTGTGGAGTGTAGAGTGTGGAGTGTAAAGTGTAAATTGTAAAGTGTGGGGTGTAAAGTGTAAAGTGTGGAGTGTATAGTGTAGAGTGTAAAGGGTGGAGTGGAAAGTGTAGAGTGCGGAGTGCGGAGTGTAAAGTGTGGAGCGTGGAGTGTAGAGTTTGGAGTGTAGAGTGTGGAGTGTAAAGTGTGGAATGTAGAGTGTGGAGTGTAGAGTGTAAAGTGTGGAATGTAAAGTGTGGAGTGTGAAGTGTCAAGGGTGGAGTGTGGAGTGTAGAGTGTGAAGTGTAGAGCAGGCAATGCGACTCGTCTGAAGTGCTGCGCCTGCCGCGCAAAATGACGACGAAGATCGCCAACATGCTGCGCCTGCCACGAAAACTGCAACTCATCTTGTGAAAACGATTCAAAAGTATTGCGCCTGCCACAAAAAACGACTTTCGACACGTTATCAAACAGGTTGGAATGTCACAAAGTGCCGCGCCTGCCACGCAAAATGACATGACAACCTGCTTGAAAACCTTCGAAAAGGAGAGGTTTTGCAGCTTCCCCCATAGACACGGCGAGGCCACAGGAAAACCAGAGACTCAAGACGGGACACGTGGGCGCAGCAAAACGAGCATTTCGTGCGAGACGTCCTCCAATTTTGACACTTTGTAGCCTCAAAATCGACGTTTTCCTACGAGTTTTTTGGAACCTCTAAATTTGCTACCTCAAAATCGATGTTTCGTGGGAGGCTTCCGTCAAGTTTCATCACATCTCACAAAATGCCACGTCTGCCACGGAATTTGCACCTTGTCCACCACTTGACGCAGCCCTGACAATGCGATTCGCAAAACACACGCAACGCGACACGTTTGAAGTGCTGCGCCTGCCACGCAAAATGACACTGGACACGTCCAAAGTGCTGCACTTGCCACGAAAACTGCAACTCATCTTGCGAAAACGTCGCAAAAGTATTGCGCCTGCCACAGAAAACGATTTTCGACACGTTACAAAAAATGTCTGAATGTCACCAAGTGCCACGCCTGCCACGCGAAACGAAGCAACGCGACGTTTGAAACCTCTCCAAAAGTGACCCCTTCTGCAGAACTTACCATAGGCACGGCCATATGGCCCTCACGCGGACGGTTGCGGACGGTTGCGGACGGTTGCGGGCGGTTCGGAAACGTCGAGCGAACACACCCTCAACTCCGTCAATGGTGGGTTGATGTAGGCTTCAGAAGGAGAAAGAGGGTGGGCCAGCCAGGATCTTCTTGAGGGATTTGACACGGGTAAAATTTTGGGTAAGTAAAGCAACTTGTGACGAGTCAACCATTGAAATGCTACTGGATAAAATTCAAGTGGACATGTTTAGCCGGCCAATAAAATATGGGGAGTCAAACGTCAAAGTTTGAGGGTTTATCGGGGCTAAAGGCTAAACGCTGGGAATATTGGGGGGATACCTCTCCAAGAAGAATTCTAGATGTATTGTAATGGCTTTCACCCAAAGAATTGGTGGCGAATCAGGAAGACATCTTGCTATCCCAGAGCAAAAGTGGGCCAAAGTTGGGAGTAGTCAGCAGATAGGCTGGATCACAGGGATGCTCCTGCAACAGTCAAAGGCTGAGCGTTATTTATGTTGGTCATCAAGGCGAATCATGCCCACCTATTTATTTCAGTCTTGCGAAATAGTTTGACTTGTCAGGATTTGTTCAGATGCTTCTTTGTGTCCGGGCATTCAGAAGCACCCGGCATTTTTGAACAGAACCGTGTTGGCGACCTTGAAAAAGCCATGAAAGTGAGACCAGTGACGACTTGCCACTTGCCAGTCCTCCCGCAGAGACAATCCTCAGCTTTCGAAAAAGTAATCACAACGATGTTTGCCTGGTGGTTTTGAACTGAAAAACATAGTTTATAGGGACTGTGTCACATACATACGTAATCATGCATGTGTTATGCAGAACTATATATTGTATATATCTATATATGGTTTACACGTATATATATATGGTATACATAGATATGGTATAGATTTTATGTATGGTATTTATGTATATGGTGTATATGCCATATGGTATATATAAAAACACTGCATATATAGATATATTATTTATATATGGTATATAAACTGTATGTATTTGAATATATAAATATATATGTTTATTATATTTAAATATGTATTATTGAATTTCACGAGGTCTTGGGGTTTTGGGATTTTTACGGTATATTGGGTTTCAAAGTCAAAATGCATCATTTCGAGCAACCTGCGAGCAGAAGGGTCGTGAGGAAAAGTGTTGAATGTTGTGATTTTTGTTGAATCAGCGGTCCACAGGTCCAACTGGCGTTCCAGAGAAACTGAAACAGTCGGAAACAGTCGGAAACAGTCGGGAGCGGCCCGGCGTGATCGTGCCAAAATTGTCAATCCGCCATTTTTTTGCCAAAAAAAACGTTCCGCGCAATCCCCTTTTTTTTTTGAAAGTGCAACGGGAAACAGTTGGAAACAGTTGGGGCTCGTACCTTTGACTCGGCAAAAAACGAGCTATTTAAAACCATTTAAGGTTCATTTTCTTTATAAACTGGTTTTAAATAGCTCTTTTTTGGCCGAGTCAAAGGTACGAGCCCCAACTGTTTCCAACTGTTTCCCGTTGCACTTTCAAAAAAAAGGGGATTGCGCGGAACGTTTTTTTTTTGCAAAAAAATGGCGGATTGACAATTTTGGCACGATCACGCCGGGCCGCTCCCGACTGTTTCCGACTGTTTCCGACTGTTTCCGACTGTTTCAGTTTCTCTGGAACGCCAGTTGGACCTGTGGACCACTGATTCAACAAAAATCACAACATTCAACACTTTTCCTCACGACCCTTCTGCTCACAGGTTGCTTTAAATGATGCATTTTGACTTTGAAACCCAATATACCGTAAAAATTCCAAAACCCCAAGACCTCGTGAAATTTAACAATATGTATATTATATTTTCATGGTATATATATACGTTTTATATTTAGATGGTGCATATATATAAATATATACAGTGTATATATACGTGGTATATATATATACATGTTACATATAATATAGAGATTGTGTATATATATAGATGATGTAAATATTTTTTTTTTTTATGCGGTATAAAAATATAAGGTGTGTATATATATATATATACAAATGGTCAATAAATATATAGATGGTATATATATATATTTATTTATAAATGGTCAAAACACATATAGATAGTATATATATATATATATAAGTAAACAAAAATATATAGTATAGATATATGGTAAAACATTTATAGATAGTGCACTATATATATATATATGGTATATGTATATATACGCGCAACACCTGGGCTTTGCGTTGAACTCTACATTCAAGTGGGAAGATCAACAAAGGTATTAGGGAATATTCAAATCCCCCTCAAACTTTCCATTCAGTTGGGAAGATCAACAAAGGTATTAAATAGGGAATGTTAAAATCCCACGTTACACTTTACATTCAATTGGGAAGATCGACAAAGGTATCCCACCCCCGTCAAACTTTACTACATTCATTGAAGATCTTCAATATGGGTTTAATTCTCCCACCCCCCTTCAACTTCTACATTCATTGAAAACTTCAATAAGGGTTTAATTCCCCTACCCCCGTTAAACTTCTACGTTCATTGAAGATCTTCGATAAGGGTTTAATTCTCCCACCCCCCCTTAAACTTCTACATTCATTAAGATCTTCAATATGGGTTTAATTCTCCCACCCCCCCTTAAACTTCTACATTCATTGAAAACTTCAATAAGGGTATAATTCTCCCACCTCCCTTAGACTTCTACATTCATTGAAGATCTTCAATAAGGATTTAATTCTCCCACCCCCGTTAAACTTCTACATTTATTGAAGACCTTCGATAAAGGTTCAATTCTCCAGACTCCGTTAAGCTTCCACATTCATTGAAGATCTTCAATAAGGGTTTAATTCTCCCACCCCCCCTTAAACTTCTACATTCATTGAAGATCTTCAATAAGGGTTTGGTGATGATGATGATGATAATGGTGATGATGATGATCATGATGATGATGCGTTGCCTGTCGTGGCTGAGGTTTCGGGCAAAGCCCAGGCAGTTGCCGTATATATAGATAATATAGACTTGTATGTATGGTATATATATATTTATATGGTATATAGATATATGATATATATATATATATGGTATGAATATATGTATATGTACGGTAAATGTACATATATATATAGACGGTACATATTTATGTATATATATAAATATATGGTATATCTATGGTACATAAAAATACATATTTCTATCTATGGCATATACAAATGGTATATACCTGTGTGATATTGTGTATATATATAGTATATATATAATTATGGTGTTTATCTGTATCTATATATATATATATGTACACATATATAAATATATATGGTATTTACATTGTGTATATTTATATATGGTGTATATATATATATGTATATATTGTATATATTGTATATATAGGTAATAGATGATATATATATATATATATGTATACGGTGTATATGTATGGTACATATATGGTATATTTACAGACAGTATATAATATATATATATATTTGGTGTATATATATATATTATATACATGGTATTTAAATATGCATGGTTTATACAGATATATGTACATATTTTTAGATGGATTATTTACATATCTATGTATGATATATATATATGGTATATATATATATGTATATGCATGGTATATATATATACATATTTATCTATTTATTTATTTATTTATTTACAGAATACGAAATTCGATAATAGACCACCAAAGGTGGGATTATGCTTCCAGCTACACACTTTTCAAGCAAAGAATTTGCTCAGGATTTGGGGCACGGAAGACCAGTCGCAAGAAACTCAGCATCGAAGGTAGTACCCGCAAAAGAATTGGTCGTTTCACCAAGAACAAATTTATGGCTGGACATAGAATTTTGATATCTGATATATTCTGATATGTTCTGATGATGTTTTTTAAATTCGGACTCTGTAGGCATTACTTTTAGGGAGACTGTCACCACATTTTGGCTACCTCTCCAGACAAATATATTAAACAGATGGAACATATCAGGAACCCTGATTTGTGAATGGCAGGGAAGGCTCTGTGACTTTCAGGTTGCCCACGCCTGTTGACAATGGAGATGTGCGTCATTAGATTTATATAGGCCCTGGAAACCATATTCACTAAAAATTCGTTGTCTCAAATCTATATAGCAAGGCCCATTTGGTTCAACATTTTGCCAGATTGAATATGTTCTATCAACAGAACTGGCATTTGTGGTTTGGATCCGAGGTGGTTTGGCATATCACCGGACCCCAAACCACCAGGCAATCAATGGGTCATGATAGGAAATCCTGGGGCCGCGGCTCCTACCGTGATAAACCCCAACGAGAGTCAGTGGGTCAGCAAATTGGGTGTTGAACAGGTTGACCCCCCAGCTCCGAATAGGCACACTTTGAAGAGATCTCAGTGAGGGAACCCTTTCAGAAAGAGAGCGGAACGCACTACGGGCCTCATGTTTTCACGTAATTTAGCTGATTTTGACTGTTTTGATAGTATTTGATATTATTTGATATTATTTGATATTTTTAAAATTGTTTATGATCATAGTCTTTTGTTTCAGATATTTTTCTCTAGTTCCTTTTGACCCTCCTGTCCCTGCTACACCATTGTTTGTTTCGTGTTTCATAACGAGTTGTGTAAAGTGTATACCAACTACCCGGCGGATCTTTCACCGTTTCACAATTGTAAGAAAATGGAAGTTTGTCATAGCGAAATTGTAGGGCTCGTGAACCCTTAAAGCATTTTGGCTCCCAAAACGCAGCGAGCTGGCAAATGCACTTCGCTGTTCATCGTCTCAAGCCATGATCTGTCTCAAGGCCATGCCCGTCATTTTCCCATCCTTGCGAAAAAATTATGCAGACATATCTTTGACCCCCCCCCACCTCCCACCCCTTATCTGACGTAGCATGCAAGTGTATGAGGCAATGCAAGAGATGTGACCGTTATTTGAAGTGAGAACTGTATGAAGATGTACATGAACGTTGCTGCCCCAACCCATTCCGCCCCCAACCCCACTTTTCTTGGACGGTAAAAGATCCGTCTGCAGTACAGTAAAGGTAAAGGGAGGACCCATATACTTGATTTATACATAATCGTTTTTCAATTTTGTTTGCCAAGGCCGTTATAGGTAGACCCATGTCAAGCAGCAAATCATACATATATATATATATTATTTAATTATATATTATACATACATACTTATGTGTATATATATAAAATATGCACGCGCACTTTCACAATAGTTAGCAATGATAAGAGCACATCTCCCTGCTAAAAGAAATCTACATTCTGAAATCATCATCGATAATTTTCAATGCACATGGTATTATTTGTATGGATTGGATAGGTTGGTATTCTGTAAATATAGACTGCCTAGACTTCGTAACATCTTTTTGGAGATCCGAGCAATTGCAGATGCAAAGGTTATATCAAGGTTCAAGATCTTAGAAGACTGCCAGGGTTTCATCCCAAATTCTTCAGCATAAACAAACATGTTAGGATTTCATCAGAAGATCAATCCAAAAAAAATCAATTGAATGGATTTATAATGTGAGCGTGGATTCATCAAGTGAATATTACACCAGAGGGTAACAGTGATGCCGATGCTTCAGCTGCTTTTCAGTTTCCAGGGTCTGGAGGGGGTCGACCAAAAAAAAAACACATGCTTTTTCCCTTTTTTTTCCCTGCTCAAGGCCCCTGGAAACCAGCTTCAAGCTGCCAAAGTATCGAATTCAGGAATGATTTGACATATTTGGCTTTGCTTTCTGAAAAAACATAACCAATGATGCAATAAAGAAGCAAAGCTTACCTAAAACGTAGCCAGCATTACGTGAACACATGTACAGATATTGAAATTGGTGTTTCTTTACGAAAACTGAAAGAAAGGTTTCAGCAATAATTTAAAAAATTACTTTACTTCGTGTGATCCCCACCATGACATTTATACATTTTGTTACTGGCAAATCTTCTGGCATTCTATTTGACATATCTTCTGGCATTCTATCTGGCATTCTATCTGGCATATCTTCTGGCATTCTATCTGGCATATCTTCTGGCATTCTATCTGGCATATCTTCTAACATTCATTCTATCTGGCATATCTCCTGGCACTCTATCTGGCATATCTTATGGCATTTTATCTGGCATATCTTCTCGCATTCTATCTGACATTCTATCTGGCATATCTTCTGGCATATCTTATGGCATTTTATCTGGCATATCTTCTCGCATTCTATCTGACATTCTATCTGGCATATCTTCTGGCATTCTATCTGGCTTTTGAGGTCCAGCGGTGCGCACTGAGCTCGGAAGGCCCCAGGTTGGGGTCCAGCGGTGCGCACTGAGCTCGGCAGGTCCCAGGTTGAGGTCCAGCGGTGCGCTCTGAGCTAGGTCCCAGGTTGAGGTCCAGCGGTGCGCACTGAGCTCGGCAGGTCCCAGGTTGAGGTCCAGCGGTGCGCACTGAGCTAGGAAGGTCCCAGGTTGAGGTCCAGCGGTGCGCACTGAGCTGGGAAGGTCCCAGGTTGAGGGCCAGCAGTGCGCACTGAGCTCCGAAGTTGGCGAAGAGCTTGGCCAAGAGTTGGCAAGGCAACAGTGGACGTGGAAGTGGAGGCAGAGGTGGTAGAAGAGGAGGAGGACGCGGAGGAGGAGAAGGAGGAGGAAGGAGGAGGAGGAAGAGGAGGAAGAGGAGGAGAAGAACAACTCTGATAAAATCTAACAACCCTCACCTGGCAGGTGGGGAATAAGGACATTTTATTTTTACACAAACATGTTAAGAAAAGTGAGGTGCAGAAACTGGGGCCCGTAGTGAACCTTTCTGGAAACTGTTTACGAAGAAGTCACCCCAAGTTTGAAGTAGCTGGTGTGGACGGTTGAGACTGCAACATGCCTTTGGAGGCTTTCGATTGGCTTGGATTGCTATGAAGGAATCTGAACGTATTGAACCCAGTTTTAACATACTTGAAGCTAAGCTTAAGGTCGCTTAAAACCAGATTTGATTGGCATGTCTAGTCTTTACGACAGGTTATGTGGTTCAATTTGACCTTCCCATTTTCTGCACTCCAATGGGGCCCTGGAAATCCAGCCCTTAGGCTCTTGTTTTAATACATTTTAGTGATCTTCCAATGCAACTGTTTTTGGTCTAGTGCTATGGTTGCTCTCCGAAGTTCAGTACCTAGATCCCAGAAGCAGGGCCCCCTCAGTTTCGAAGTAAGTTAATTTACAACTAGGTTCACTGTCAGATTTTGGGCAGATATGTAAAATATATAGTGATATGTACTGTATATATTGTACATAAGGGTTGTCTGAATCCTTTGGTATCCCTTGATTCCAGTGGTTTCTCATCATTCTCCCTAGCCGTATCCAAATTGTCATTGGGTGGCACACCCCATTTTCAGAGACACCCTGTCTCTAGTTTGATGATGTTTGCTGAGTGAACTGGGTGAACATGTATCATGTATCATTGTTTTTTTTGGCTAGGCCCTTATTGCGGGAGTATCTTGATGGCCAACTGGTTCCAGTCAGGGTCTCCCATTTGCAAGGAAAAACTACAATCGCTTCAAGTGTGTCCTATGGTGCGAACGAAGAAAATTCCAGGAAAAGGCCACTCAGCGGCCATTTGCTGATGGGTGAACAATGTGTTTTGAACTGCAATGGGTGAATATTAAGGCCGTTTTAGAAGCCACAAATTGACTGATAGTTTGATGAGCATGTCGAAATTATATATTTTGATAGACAATTTATGACAATTTAGAACCTTACCTAAGTTTTTGCAACATGACGTTGCTAATCGAGATTTGTATAAAACCGTGTTCCCTCTCTACGATACTTTTAACATTTTGTAACTGGTTGCTAGTACTCCGATGGGTCAAAAGTTTGCTCTTCACTATCAATTGGCATGCAATATGTAGGGGTATAGTCTGTATAGTCCAAAGCATACCTTGAAATCCTTGAAGCAAGATATCTCACCCATCTACTATAGCAAAGTTCACAAGTATTGCACATAGCCACAACTGACTTTCCAAAACTTAGATCCCACCACTGGTTGAAGGATGGTTTCTGTGGGAGAAATAGATTCGGAGCTGAAGTCAGTGACAAGGTAAATCAGCTGATTGTGGCTCAAAACCGTATGTGTGTAAATACATACTATATATATATTATATATATATTCTGTATATGGTTACACAACTATTTACATTTATATACAGTTCTATTTCATGCATGCGTGTGTGGCCGAACACCCCAAAAAAAGATGGTTTACAAAGCGTTACCGTTTCTTGTGGATTGAGATGCTATTGAAGGACCATCCCACTTATATACTGGTACTTAGAGGTTCAAATTCATTCGTGGATAACCAATTACCCAAGTGGAAGGGGTTCTCCTATGTACAACTTTGCCACCAGCCATATCTACTACCAGTCCACTAGTTGATGTGATCCTCTACTTGAACCGTTTGTCACGGGTAACATATTGGTGCAAGGTCGTGTCTCGTGCTCAGCTTAAGCCATGTGTCATGGAAAAAGATCAATGAGATCATCTCCCACCAACAGACCAAAGAGACAACTTTTGCGGATGTGCCAAGTTTTTATGCCTTCATCTAGAGACTTATCAGGACTTGTCTCTCTCTCTCTCTATATATATATAATTCTATAAATGTATATATGTATATGTATATATGTGTACAGTATATATGTGTATCCCCAACAATCTAAACCATAGTCACAACTGAATAGATTGCATCATAGTTTTTTCGGGCTTGGATTCTATCCCAACTTATCGGGCCGAAAAAGACATGGTTATAGCCATTGATAATCCAAGTTTTGATTTTATGTGATTTTATTACTTGGTGATTTATCCCATCAAATAGTTCCCTTCTTATCCCATTCAATGACCATTTTCATTGATCTCCTAGTATATATATAGATATTGATATTTAGTAGATATCCTCATGAATCGTGGTTTGATCCCCAATTCTCTAGCGGTTATGGAGTTCGAGGGGCCTCAGTTCTGCATGGAGGGGTATTTTGTTTGGCATTTGTGTTTTTTTTTTTCTGGCTTTTGGCTTCTGGCTTCTGGCTCCTTCTGGCTTCTGGCTGCATTTTTCCATGGAGGGTATATATATTTGTTCTTGTTTTTCAGTCTGGGGCGTTTCCCTTGCTATTTGCTGCATTTTGGAGCCAAAATCTCTGATTTGCGTGCTATTTGCTGCACTTTGGAGCTAAAATCTCCCATTTGAGTGCCCACTTGGCTTTTGGCCTTTGGCTTTTGGCTTTTGGTTTTGGCTTCACTTGGCTTTTGGCTTTCTGGTTTTTGTTGGCTTTTTGGCTTTGGTTTCACTTGGCTTTTAGCTTTTGGCCTTTGGCCGCACTTCTGTTGAATGTATGTGTAGTATTGTAGTTTGCGTACAACATTTCATGATTTCATATAATACACTGCATATGAATTACATGTAAACTGCACAGAAACTACAGACGTAATATGAGCTTATATGCATGCTGTTTTGAGAGGAAGTGAGACCTGTTTTCAACAAGTGCCGTAACTACTTTTTGTTCCTAAAGTTCTTAAGACCGTATTCAAGACACTTGTTGAACTGTGTTCTCCAACTATATTTGCTTGAATTGTGCTTCACAATGTTTGCATGGCAGTCAGAAGTTTACCTTTGAGTTTATATGCATGCTTGTGTGAGAGAAATTGCAACCTTTTTCAACATCAAGTGTCCTAACTAGCTCTTGTTGATGTCTGAAAAAAAACATTTCAGGACACTTGTTGAATCTGGTCTCCAACCATATCTACGTGAGTTGATCTGTGTGAAACCCTAAATGAAACCCTAAATGAAACCCTAAATGAAACCCTAAACGAACCAAAATGACATCCTAAAGAAGCCAAAAACGACACCCTACAGAAACCCTTAATGAAACCCTAAACAGACCCAAAATGAAACCTTAAAGAAGGTTCATTTTCATGAAAAAGTGTGGAACATCAACGCACATCCACCATTTGTAGATCCTTTTCCACAAGGCCTTGGTCTTCCAGATCTACGTTGGTTGATTTTCGGTCCCAGGGTGGTTTCCACTGGGCGCCCTCGCACCTGAGGGCACCTCGGGATGCTCAGCTCTTCGTTGTGCCAAGACATCCTGTCTCTGCTGGATGGCACCGCTGCGCCCAGTCGTCGAGACGATAAGATGACGATGGCTGTGACCTGGTTGAGATGTCGGTAATGGTGGTCTACTAGGACTGAATGTAGTGGGATTTAATGGGATTTATTGGTGATTTACTGTGATGTACAATGGTGATTTAGTACGATTTAGTGGGATTTCATGCCATTTGATGGGATTAACCTTTGGTTTTTATGGTGACTTATATAATGGGATTTAATATCATATACCCTCTGGTAATTTGAGAGTTTGCAACCTGGACAAGCAGCCATTTAGTTCGATGGTTTGCTGATTAGAAGCGGTGGATCTTCCAGTTCGCTATGTAAATTTGCCAGAGGGTATATATTATATATATATATCTATATTAGATTCATGGTACAGTTTTATAGTTTTATAAGTTTTATATCTATAATGTTCTATAATTATATCTAGAGTATTGTATATCATATTGTTGGAATGGCAGGTCCATGGTCCATGGTGGGCGCAATATCATCCACACACACACACATATATATATACACTATGCTCACATGACATGAGTGTAGTGAAAGGTATTTTAAGAATCACTATTCTCATGTCATCTGCCAAGTGCGCTTTTTTTGACACAAAAAAATAGTGCACATGTCATCTGCTTTAGGTACCAAAAGTACCGTACCTATTTTTTTGCGATAAGTTTGTGTTACGCCCGCCCTCCGAAACACATGAGCTCATGACATGCGATCTCCAGCCCATCTGAAAAAGCACCAAAAACATATGAAAAAAACATAGAAAAACATGGGTTTGCCCTATGACACCTTTCATTCACGTGATATCAACCTGTATGTAATGTCATCACATACACGGTTGCGCGCCAACAATGCACAAACACAATGCACGCACGCAAATCAATGTGAAAATGATGAAATAGGTGGAGAATGGTGGAGAAACATCATTCATATTCATTCATGACGTCTAATGATAGAACAAAGAAATAGGTGGGGCCGACTGCACCCCCGCTCCCTCTCCCTCCTCCCGTCCCCTCCACGGGGCCTTCATTTTGCGTGGCAGGCGTGGCACTTGCTGACATAGACCTTCGTTTTGCGTGGCAGGGGCACTTATGACACTGGGCTGGCTCTGGTGGCGCGCTTGGGCGCCGTTGGTCGCACGTGGCGCCGCGGCACTTTGCGTGGCAGGCGTGGCGCTTGACGATATACACCTGCACTTTGCGTGGCAGGCGTGGCACTTGGCGACATCCACCTAAGCTATGTTTTGCGTGGCAGGCGTGGCACATATGACACTCGGCTGGCTGTGGCGCGCTTTCGCGCCGTTGGTCGCCCGTGGCGCCGCGGCACTTTGCGTGGCAGGCGTGGCACTTGGCGATCGACCTTGCGTGGCAGGGGTGGCACTTGTGACACTGGGCTGGCATCGACCTTCGTTTTGTGCGTCAGGTGTGGCACTTGCTGACATCGACCTTCGTTTTGCGTGGTAGGTGTGGCACTTGGCGATATCGACCTTCGTTTGGCGTGGCAGACGTGGCACTTGGCGAGATCCACGCTGCAAGTGAGTCCATCTCTCTCAAATGACTTTGTCACACACAACTTTGTAACGCACAATCTTTCACACGTATCTCTGTCACATGCAACTTTATTGCAAACGACTTTGTCACACACAACTCTTTCGCACGCAACTTTTTCACACACACACCTCTCTCACACACAACTTTGTCACCCACAACTTTGTTACACACAATCTTTCACACACATCTCTCTCACATGCAACTTCTCTATCCCACACATCTTTATCACACACAGCTTTGTCACACACACGCACGATTCTTTCACACAACTTTGTCACAGACAACCTTGTCACACACAACTCTGTCACACACAAAACTTTGTCACACACAATCTTTCACACACATCTCTCTCACATGCAACTTCTCTCTCACACACATCTTTATCACACACAACTTTGTCACACACATGCTTTCACACAACTTTGTCACACACACACAACTCTTCACATACAACTTTGAAAGCTATCGAACCTCCACCATCTCCTTTGTCCTTTCTGCTTTCTCCGTGCCGCTTCAACCACTTTTCCTGATTATTGGAAGAATATGAAGAATTTGACTTGTGGGGTTATCCGGTCCTTTAATTATATCTATGCCTGGCCGCCCAATTTAGATGATGATTCCCAATGACGAAGATCTTTTAGCAGGGCTTGAAACCTCTAACATCCTCTAACCATATGGTTTTTCACTGTCCAAACATAGGTTTGCCCTAAATCGAAGGTTTACTCACAACGTTGATTTTGGAAGTACCCTGTGTTCAAACAAACGCATATGAAGAGCTTTTCACAGTCTGAACATCTTGAAGGGAAACTGAATTGGATTTCATTGTTCAGTTTGACTGTAAATTACTAAATCGGGGACTCACCAAACTTCAAGCCTAATTGTTGCATTAATTGATGGGGACGCGTAAGATTTTTCAATGTTTTTTCTCTCGTGCGTAGGGGTTTCCCGTAAATTACCCTTGAATTCCGAGGTTTATGTTTTTTCCCAGGAGTTCTATGGGTTTGAGCTATCCAAATATAGAGAAGTGTTCCATGCTGCTGTACAAATTAGAGCGGGCCCAGCCGAGGAACGAGGTAGGGTTTGTAGATTTAACGAGCCCAGCGACGAGGTAGCATTCTTGAATTTAAGGACAAGTGTTTTTTTTCTGAGTTGGAAGTAGCACCGTTTGGGGCTTTTTCTTGTCCAAAACTTAGATTTTGGAACTACTTTTTTCAGATTGCTTGGAACACAAAAAAGCTTTTCGATTCAAAGTTGCCTTGCTCTGAGTTAGAAGTAGTACCGCTTTGTTTTTTTTCTTGTTCAAAACTGAGATTTTGGAACTACTTTTTTTTCAGATTGCTTGCAACACAAGAAAGCTTTTCGATTCAAAGTTGCTTTGCTCTGAGTTGGAAGTAGTACCGTTTTGGGCTTTTTCTTGTTCAAAACTGAGATTTTGGAACTACTTTTTTTCAGATTGCTTGGAAGACAAAAAAGCTTTTCGATTCAAAGTTGCTTTGCTCTGAGTTAGAAGTAGTACCGTTTTGGGCTTTTTCTTGTTCAAAACTTAGATTTTGGAACTACTTTTTTCAGATTGCTTGGAACACAAAAAAGCTTTTTCGACTCCAAGTTGCTTTGCTTTTACTTGGAAGTAGTAATGTTTCGGGCTTTTTCATGTTCAAAACTTAGATTTTGGAACTACTTTTTTTCAGATTGTTTGGAACACAAAAAATGCTTTTCGGTTCACAGCTGCTTTTTGCTCTGAGTTGGAGGTAGCACCGTTTCGGGCTTCTTCTTGTTCAAAACTTAGATTTTGGAACTTTTTCAGATTGATTGGAACACCAAAAAATCTTTTCGGTTCAAAGCTGCTTTGCAAAGAATTGGAAGAAGCAATGTTTCTGGCTTTTTCTTGTCCAAAACTTAGATTTTGGAACTACTTTTTTTCAGATTGATTGGAACACAAAAAAGCTTTTCGATTCAAAGTTGCTTTGCTCTGAGTTAGAAGTAGTACCGTTTTGGGTTTTTTCTTGTTCAAAACTTAGATTTTGGAACTACTTTTTTTTTCAGATTGCTTGGAACACCAAAAAATCTTTTCGGTTCAAAGCTGCTTTGCAAAGAATTGGAAGAAGCAATGTTTCTGGCTTTTTCTTGTCCAAAACTTAGATTTTGGAACTACTTTTTTTCAGATTGCTTGGAACACAAAAAAGCTTTTCGATTCAAAGTTGCTTTGCTCTGAGTTGGATTTTCAGATTGCTTGGAACACAAAAAAGCTTTTTCGACTCCAAGTTGCTTTGCTTTTACTTGGAAGTAGTACCGTTTCGGGCTTTTTCATGTTCAAAACTTAGATTTTGGAACTACTTTTTTCAGATTGCTTGGAACACAAAAAAGCTTTTCGATTCAAAGTTGCCTTGCTCTGAGTTGGAAGTAGTACCGTTTTGGGTTTTTTCTTGTTCAAAACTGAGATTTTGGAACTACTTTTTTTCAGATTGCTTGGAAGACAAAAAAAGCTTTAGGGTTCAAAAAGCTTTACTGATAACGATCGGCCATTCAGGATTGAGACATTTCTTAGTGCAGAAAGATCAATGGATGCAATAAAAAGGAAAAATTCGAAAAAAAAGGTTACACACCTACAGTAGATATACTGTTTGTGTAAATATCAACATTATATACATCATATATATATATATTTATATTTATATATGTGTATGCCTCTACGATCTAGCTATGCCTATCTGTATAATTCTAGCCCCTTGGACCCCCTGATTCACATCGAAGGAGGAGGTGGACGGGCACGTGCTGGAGCTCCTGAGGGTGCGCCGCCTGAAGGCGGCACTGGGCAAAGCAGCCCGCCGCTGCCTGAGGGAAGGTCGGCACCACCGCACCCACCACGCGTGGCCCGCCACGTGCGGGCTCTGCTGGCAGAGCTGCAAGAGTAGGCCGGGGAGTGCGGCTGGGGCCCGGGATGAGCACGAGCCACATCATTTAATTATTCGCTAAAGGCAACTTGCATCTTCCATCTAACGACGTTTCAAACCATTATAATTATAAGCATTGGTGTGCAACTTCAAGATTGCGCATTCGAAATTCTATTTGGCAAGACTAGTTAATATAAAATGCACGGATCTAAAGATGATGAAGATATAGAGAGAGAGGGAGAGCGGAGAGAGAATGAGAATGTGTCCTTACATGAGAATGCACGCGTATACATCTTGTAATGGTACCGGACGATGGAAATCCGATAAGAAAATTGACTGACCTTGTCGCCCTGCCAAAACGCCCCGCCGCAGGACGGCAGCGAGGGCAGCACAAGCACAGAAGCCGCCGCACAGGCCCCCCTCCCGCCGGACGAGCACAAAGCCGTCCGGTGGGAGGGGGCGACAGGCGCAAGACCAGCAAGGACAGAGAAAAAAGACCATGAGCTGGCGAAGTTTGGTTTCCCCCATGAAGACAAAGTTGATGTTGCTAATCCCCTGCAGCAAATTGTTCTGATAAGGTAACGAATTTTTAAGGACCTTTGCGCAGGTTGAGGAACTCAAGCGCCTCGGTTATTAACATGTTACTTTTTATTGCTTTGGACCATCACAATATGAACAAACACTTTTCGAAAGACCGAACGTTTCTGTTTGGGAATTTGAGGCAAAGAAACTGTTTTAAGCATCCGACCAGTTTTTTGGCATCAGCCATTTCTTGACAGGAAGCATTATGGTGCTATGGTCACAGACAACCACGTGGAAGAGTCTCTGCTAGTCGGCTGTGGCCCAGGCCCACAGGAAGCAGCTGAGATTCGTCTTCTTGCACGATGCCTTAAAAGTTCATGCAGAAGGACCGGGTTTGAAACCATCTTCTCCCCTCCATAGCATCTATTTCTTTCTGTGCCCAGTTGTTCCCACACGGCCTTCTTTCCCTGATATCAGGAAAGAAGGATGTCGTAGGCGACCTTCGTCCGGAGAGGTGGCGTCATCAAGCAAAGGCGCCGTTCTCAGAGGTCTGACTTTGGAAAGGCGCGGAAATCTTACAAAAGTAAGAGCAAGTTGCGGGTTGATGCTCCTCGAAGAGGACTCACTGAAGGTGAGGTGAGCATCAGAGAGGCTTCCTCGCGGGAGTTTAGCGACATTTTGGAGGAAATGTCCCCTCCAAAGAAGCGCAAGTAGCCCAAAAGAAGAAAAAAGAGAGGCTGGCCGCCAGGCTTGCTGTGACGAGGGAGCTAATTCCTAAAGCAGAATTAACGAGCCGAGCTGCTAATTTCAAAACCCTACATAACGAGCCGAGCTGCTAATTTCATGGTGAGATTTAACCGACGAGGGAGACGAGCTAAGAAATAAAGTAATTTGTGCAGATGCTGTTTTAGTTTTCATTTTTTCCACTTGTAAAAAATGGTTTGAGACAAAACATATTGGTATTGCACAAACTATCAATCCCTCATCTGAACGCAGCCACCTTCGTGGCTTCATTCCCACGTAAAAGAACCCTTTACGGTTTCTTTTCTGTAAGATGTTCCTAAAACCAAGTCTCCAATTTCTGTACGTCAGGTCACAAGACTCAAGTTCCCCGTCAACCGTTTTCTTGTATTCTAAATGATGACATTCTTCCCATTTCTTAGGGTAGTTTAAGGGGCTAACTTGCCGAGGGCCCTCCTGTTTAAATATTCATCTGGGAAAAACCAATGGAACCCCCAAAGGAATCTTAAAAAATATCTCTGCACGTTTTTGGTTCTTGAGATATTTGCAGGTTTTTATTCTTTGGAAGGATAAACCAGTGGGTGCCTCCCTTTGATTCTCGCCGTCCCCTCCCCGGACAGAACCAGCCATGCCCGGCCCGTCCCAGCTGGAATGCCTCCGCCTGAAAGTGGTGCTTGGCACCGACTTGGAGGTCCGGCAAGCCCTGCGGACCAAGGGCTTCAGGCCCGCGAGAATCTGCCAACTGATGGCAGAATGCTCGCAGTACCCTCCACGGAGTGCGGCTCAAATGGAGCTGCAGACCGCCCAGGACCAAAAAAAAAAGCAATCAGTCTGCCTCGAAAGAATTATTTAAATAGCGCGAATGATGCACCATCAACTATATATATATATATATCCTGATTCTATCATAGATTGCTTGAGCAGGTAGGTTGATCACCGATGACCCGATACATTTCCTCGAACAACGACTTGAGAACAGAATTTATCAGGTCTAAAAATAACAACATCCAATATTCATAAATAGACATGATAACGATCGGCCACTCAGGATTGAGACATCGCTTAGTTCAGAAAGATCAATGGATGCAATAGAACAGAAAACATCGGAAAATAAAAGAAAAAGGTTACGCACCTACAGTAATTAGATATACTGTTTATGTAAATATCAACACACACATATATATATTTATTTAAATATTTTTATGTGTGTGTATGTTTCTACGATCTAGCTATGCCTATCTGTATAATTCTAGACCCCTTAAATTGGACCCGCCCTGATCTGATTCACATCGAAGGAGATCGTGACCGGCACGATGCACGAGATCCTGAGAGTCCGGCGGCTGAAGAGGCAGGTGAACAGGGCCGCTCGCCGGTGCCTGACCAACGTGCGGCGGCACCACAGCCCGAGGGCGTGGCCACCCAGGGTGGCCCGCCTAGTGCGCGAGTTACTCGCGCACCTGCAAAGCTGAGGACTGCAGCTGGGGCCCGGGATGACCACGAGCCACATCAGTTATATAATTATTCGCTATAGGCAACTTTCCATCTTCCATCTAACGACATTTCAAACCATTATACTTAATTATAAGCAATGGCGTGCAACTTCAAGATTGCGCATTCGAAATTCATACTTGGCAAGACCAGTTCATATAAAATGCACGGATCTAGAGATGATGAAGATATAGAGAGAGAGGGAGAGCGTATTAACATCTTCTAATGATACCGGACGATGGAAATTTCCGATCAATAAACTGAATGACCTTGTCGCCCTGCCAAAACGCCCCGCCGCAGGACAACGGCGAACGGCAGTACAGAAGTCGCCGCACAGGACCCCCTCCCACCGGACGAGCACAAAGCCGTCCGGTGGGAGGGGGGTGACAGGCGCAAAACGAGCAGCGGCAAGCAGGGCGAAAAAAGATGGTGTTGTGGCGAATGTGGGTGTCCCCCATGAAGAGAAAGTCGATGTTGTTCATCCCCTGCAACAAATTAAAAGACAGCAGCATGCCCACACGCAAAAGGAAAGGGGTGGCTAGCATAAGTAGGAATCGTTGAAAGGAATTGCTGCTCAGTGCTTTGTGGCTGCTTTCACCATTTTTGGGATTGGTGGGATTTTTTAAGGTTTGTGGGGTTTTGTTAGGTTTTACTGGGATCTGTATGGGGGTTGGTCAATTTTTTGGATTTGGATGGGATTTTTTAAGTGTTTATTGGAGTTTGTTGGGCCCCAATTGGTTTAAACTGCTTGGGTTTGCTTTGGTTTGGCTGATTATTGGGATTGTGGTGAGATTTGTTTAAGTTTTTGTGGGGGTTGTTTAGCATCTAGTGACGTTTGTTTATGTTTTGGTGAGGCTGGCAATTGCTGGCATGATGGATTTGGCTATTGATTGTGACGTTTTCAGGGCCATAGATTTATATAATAGATTCTTGGAATGGCAAAAGACAAAGACACAAATGCGTGTGCACAATTTGATTGTGCTTTACTTGGCGTGTGCCAAGGGGTTTCCAGGGAACCTTTCCGGATTGAGTGGGTTTGAATTGCATTTCAGTAGGGGTCCATGGTGTTTGTGTAGGGTTTTCTGTATGTTTCTGTGATGTTTTCAGGGGTTTGTGTGGGAAACTACTAGCCTAAGAAAATCAATAATATCTTTCACAGATTCGTCCCATAAACCACTGTGTGAGCATTTTAAGAGTTATCCAAATAGTTTGCTGTTGTTCTGTCATTTTCTGATATTTTCTTTGTCACCAGAGTGAATGACTTATACTGGATCTTTTGATTTGGTTTGTGCATTATGACCATACGCCTTGAGCTCCTGGCGGTAAATGAACAAGAGAGAGGGAAGGCCGTTTTATATTGATTATAATTTCGAATCAAAACGACGTGTGCGATGGTGACCACTAGGTTTGTTTCTGCATGCATACCAAGCAGTAGCTTGTCCAATCCCAATTGGAATTAGATACAAAGTATTTTTTCACAAATCGATGGACAGATAGATAGATATGTGTATATGTATGTCAACTGTCAACTGGTTGATTGTAGCCATAGGGTCTTTAATAGAGGTGGTGCAAGAATATTGGTTTATTAAATTTCCCCACTAGAAATTATCAATTTTTAGAAGATAGAAGGGGATTCTACAAACAACGAAGGCCTTAATGAAATATTTGTAGCTGTACATCGTCACCAAGTACCCTCCAACTCATTGGGTAATCCCCCGTAGTTACATACATGCGTGTATCAATCAATCTATCTATCTACCTACCTACCTGCCTATCTATCTATCTATCTACCTGCCTATCTATCTATCTATCTATCTATCTATGTCATGTAATGTCATGTAATGTAATGTCATGTAATGTAATCTAATGTAATGTGATCTAATGTAATGTAATCTAATGTAATCTAATGTAATCTAATGTAACCTAATCTAATCTAATTTAATCTAACTATCTATCTATCCATCCATCTATCTATCAATCTATCAATCATCTATATATGTATAGAGCCAGACCTTGAATATAATTTAATATAATAATCAACACAAGCAGATAACATAGATCTGAATAGATCCATATCCTCCACGTGTCACCGTTGCCCGAGGTGGCGGTCCCGCACTTCCCGGAGGACGGCCATGCGTCGGCGGCTGAGGCGCCTTGGAGCACGCCCTGTGCTCCGCCGGCACCGCCAGCTCCAACGAGAGATGACAGAAAGGCCGGGACTGCTGTGTGATTTATAGCTGAACAGTGGTGATTTAACCAGCAAACAAAAGGATTGATATGATTTAATGGGATTTAAAGCTGATTGATGATAGCTAAGTTGGTTTATAAGTCTAATAACTAGGGTTTATGGTAGATATAACTCTAGTTCAGGGGGTTTGTAAAGCAACGTTCCATCACTGGGGGGCACCATCCTATAGAAAAATGACCCATCGGTGCATCAACATTCTGCTAAGGTTTGGGGGTCGCTTGAAGAGAATTGACAATGATTCTTGTCATTGTTTTTGCAGTTTTAATATCAAACGAATCTAGTTTTGGGGTTAATCTCCCATCTTTACTCTTTGCATCCTCACGTTTGCTGGGTGAGTGATATATGCACACACCTAAAGAATTGAATTATATATATATATACATATATACATATATACATATATATATATATATAATATATATATACATACACATATATACATATATACATATATACATATACACATACATGCATGCATGCATGCATTAGATTACATTACATTACGTTACATTACATTACATTACATTCACATTCCATTCCATTCAATTCCATTCCATTACATTACATTACATTACATACCATTACATACCATTACATACCATTACATACCATTACATACCGTTACATACCATTACGTACAATTACAAACCATTACATACCATTACATACCATTACAGCCATTCCATACCATTACATACCATTACATACCATTACATACCATTACATTATATACCATTACATTACATTACATACATACCCCTCCGGGGCGGACGTTTGCCCAAAGTTTCAATGGGGGTTTAGTTACGTTGTGATTTGTTCAAGATATTTTTCAGATTGTTTAGGGTTTGCTGAGGGTTTGTTTAGATTTTCTTTTGGGTTTGTTTAGGGTTTATTTGGGGTTTGTTTAGTTAATTTTCTTGCTATTGAGGGTTGTGTTAGGGTTTGCTCACGGTTGTTTTAGGGTCTATTTAGGGTTATTTATGGTTGATTTAGGGTTGGTTTAGGGTATGTTTAGGGTTTATTTAGGGTTAGATTATTTTGGTGTTCTTTCAAAGTCTTACGGTTTGTTGAGGTCTCAGTTAACAGCTCGAAACACTGCAAATTACGGAGATACGCTTCAAAAGGTGATTTTGGCACCGGCTTAGGTAAGCGCAAACATGCCATGAGATGCAGGTAATATCAATGTTTTGCATGCTCCCAGTGTGGGAAAAACACACACGGAAACAACACAGCAGATTGCAGTCCCGAATGGAATTCCGTAGATTTCGGACAAACGTCAGCCCCCTAGCGATACATACATACATGCATGCATGCATGCATACATACATACATACATACATACTTACCTACCTACCTACATACCTACCTACATACCTACATACCTACATACCTACATACCTACCTACCTACCTACCTATCTACCTACCTACCTACCTACCCACCTACCCACCTACCCACATACCTACATACCTACATACCTACATACCTACCTACCTACATACCTACATACCTACATACCTACATACCTACATACCTACATACCTACATACATACCTACATACCTACATACCTACATACCTACATACCTACAAATACACATATACATACACATACACATACGCATACACATATAATACATAGACATGTACATCCCGGCGGACCGGAAACCGTGCTCGTAAAACGCACGTTTTTTTTTTAAAAATGTTGTTTTCGCTACAGCGAAACGCACATTTGTATGAGCTAAATTTGGCCAAATTCTTGCGCGAGAATTTGGCCAAATTCGCGTTTCGTGAGGGATTTTGACACTTTTGATCGGACACTTTTTCTTCTCCTTTCACAGCAGGCGTTTCAGCGTCGAAATGGTCTTTTGCTGGAGGCACGTATGTAGATTCACAAATCGCCGTTGCCAGCATTTGACAGACAGGAGAAGATCTTTGCTCTTTGAGCACGATGAATTGGGGATGAAGTCTTTGACAGCACTCCATGCAGCATCAATTGTTCCAGTATGGCAACTGATCTTATCAAAGGTAGCAACATAGAACGTAGCAACAACATCAGAGATCTCTGCAGCGTAGCAACATATAACGTACGAAGAGCAGCGTAGCAACATATAACGTAGCAGCTGCACCGGAGATCTCTGCAGCGTAGCAACATATAACGTACGAAGTACAAGGAACGTCAACAAGCCCCCCCCCCCCCCCCCCCATCATGAGCAGCGTAGACATAGAGGAGAGCTGCGCACCGGAGATCTCTCTGCGGGCGTAGCATCATATACACGTACGAAGTACAAGGAACGTCGAAAGCTGCCCCCCCCCACACCCCACCCATCATAGCAGCGTAGCAACATACGACTAGGCAATCACACCAGAGATCTCCCAGCGTAGCAACCATATAACGTTACGATGTACAAGGAACGTTAACAAGCCCCCCCCACCCCACCCCATCATGACCTCCGAAAGTGCGTTTTCCAAAAACGTGCGTTTTACGAGCACGGTTTTGGGCCCGCAGGCATGTACATGTACATGTACATATACATAGATCCTGAACCTCCCATTTGGTTCACAAAAATATGTACCTTTTTTTTCTGCCCGATTTCAAAAGATATGCGCGTTTAAGGGTTTTCAAAAAAAGGTGTCTGGAGTTCCGTGGCTCCCCATAGTAATCAACCTGATTCTTTCTCCATAGGCTCGATAGGACACGCGCTAATGCATGTGCAGCATGCCAAATACGACCTCGAACAGCCACGCCTGACAACATGGGTTGCATCGCAGCACATGTAAACAACCGAGCTTGGGACACGGTAAATCTAAAGTATCCACCTCAACATCACGTATGTTTTTCATAGGCCAAGATACCTCCAGCAAACAACCTTCAGCTATAGCGCAATTTTCACAACCAACAGTCGGGCAGTATTTTTTCACACGAAGAATCCTCATGCAGGGCATTCAACATTCAACACAAAAACACCACAGCCACAACAAGCAAATACATAACATATATAACATGAACACTACACGCGACAAAATCCAGAAACATGCGCGCCGGGAGTCCAAGTAAAACAGGAATGAAGCCAATGCATGAACTAAAAGGTGCGATGGAAGAACTGGCTAAGCTCAGACTGAAACAACATGCCCCCCACAAGCTCAAGACCAGATGGCGGCGCCTTCTCTTCGGACCATGCCTTCTTTTCGGACCATGCGCAAAAAGGGTCATGACGGTCAAAACAAGAGTGTCAAGTGGTACACTTTTTTTTTTTCGCGCCCGTTTCGCGTTTTTTTGAACCCGTTTCGCGGGTTTCCGCGCCCGTTTCGCGCAAGACCCTTGGATCATATCAGGCGCAAAATGTCAACTTCATGCATGTCAAAGCCGGTCTAATGCAAGGCGCCATTTTTCATCAAGCAAACGTCAACGTGACCGTGTTTCCCAGAGTTCGCGGTCAAACTTTGTCATGCACAGCCATGCCGCAGGCCGGCTTATTTTGCCATGAGGTGTTTCCACAGATAGTCCCATGCATCAAGCACTTGTGCGTTGTGCCATGAGTTACCCATGGGCAGGGCTTCAAACATTTCACGGCGAGCGGAAAAAATCCGATTTTTATCCTGGAGGCGGAATCAGATGCAACCATCTGAAAGATAAGGCATGCATCCAGTCATGCATGGAAACAAGAACGTCTTCAACATCGTGCGCAGCAGCCTTGCTCTTTGATTGAAGTAAACATGGTAACTGGTAAAGCTATATATGGGGTATGGGGATATTTGGCACAGATTAATAGCTGCATGTCGGTCACATCATCTGTGCCCATGTCATCTTTCAACAAACACATTGTGAAAGTAACGATAGGCCAACTAGGCTTCAAACCCAGCCACATGCTTGCCAACAGGGCTGATTTGGACTTTGAGCACAAGTTGGGAAGGGGCTGGCAAAACTGAAAACGGCACAAAACGTAGCCATTATTAGCCACTTGGAAAAATATGTCCACATAGTTACCTTTTAAAACACGTGCTCGAAAATAAGGTTGTTTTCAGAATCTGCCCGCTTTTCAAAAAAGTGTACCAAACACCCTAAACGTACACATTTATCTGTACCACTGGGCGGTGTATTTAACATATACATATACATACATACATACATACATGCATACATACATACATCCATACATACATCCATACATTCATGCATGCATGCATGCATACATACAGACAGACAGACGTACATACATACATACATACATACAGACACACAGACACACACATCCATGCATGCATGCATGCATGCATGCATGCATGCATGCATACATGCATACATGCATACATGCATACATGCATACATACATACATGCATACATGCATACA